TTAGCTGCCCCATTAGAGAAACCAATGAGTAAAGTGACCAAAAAGGATTTGCATTAACCGATTTCAGCCAATTCTATTTTCTTTATTAAGGTTTTTTGTTAGCCCGATTTTTTTGATTACCGAAAAGGCAAAAACAATTGCGATGCATAAGCACAAAAAGTTAACATGTCAAATATAATAGCACCTTATTAATGTGACTACATAATATTATAATCCCATCAATATCAATAACTGTCCAGAGTGAAAGTGCAAACATAAATGGAAAATAATTAAATGTCAATGATAATGTTGACAACGCTAGGCAAGGGAAAGGTGATAATAATTCAGGGCACAATGCATTCACATTTGGGTACTAAGAAAATATGAAAATGCAATATTTGCATGCTATTTGAAATTATTTTATGTACACAGCATACCCATTGAAAATGACTTGGAATCGGGCATATCAATTAGAGCCGTTTCAGTTTATATGTGCAATCTATCAGGCTGGCAAGATTATAACAGCTAGCTAAGTGTATCATGTTCTGTTTTATTTACCCGCAATAGATTTCAGTTCTTTTAGCTCATCTTGTAGGGTTGACGAGCGTAAGCCTCTTTTTTCCCTTCATTACCAATACTTGGATCCGGGTGATCGGTTGTCATCATACGCGAGTGTGTACTCCTGATGAAAGATCTCTCCTCTTCAATTAATCGAAGAATTAAGCTTGATGTTGTATTTATGTATAAGTTAATCATGGGCGACTGGACCGCACTGGGATTGAGTAGGCAAATAAACTTATCTTTTTCACTCTAGCAGTAAGTTATTTAGTTATTAACAGACAGCAAATGCTTATTTTTTGTCGATGTAAGCCTTGATTAATGGTTGATTTTTTTTTAATGTTATTAAAGTTTTTTGAAATGAATTAATATTAATTTAGATATGCAATATTTTTAATGATTCCAGCTGTCTATGCCCATCCTCTTATGTTTATACGAAATAATTGGGGCTGGCAATTGCCTTTGATGCATTCAAAGCATTTGCTTGTGACTTCATTGAAATTGTGCAAAGCTCCAAATTCAATTGAGCTTAGCTGTTCCTGATGTTGTCTACTTTCCTTTGCAAACTCCTTCGCTGAATCTTGAGCATTTGAGACTACACAGCGTATACTTGATGCGCGTCTAATTAGTGTCCTAATAGGCTGGCATTACGCATACGGCGTCAACGCGACACGTTACATGTAAAGAAGTACTTGACTTAGAGCGCATTTTTTACTTGTTCTACTTTCAGCAACAACTGCAATTGTAAGAGTTACTGCAACCGCAGGCACAACAACAACAGCAAGAACAGCAACAGCAACTGTAAAAGCAACAGCTGCAGCAACCGCAACAACACTTGTTAAGTGGTAGGCGCGAGGCTAAGTAAACAGCAACGCCTTCACATTGGATTACGCGCAGTTTTACTTTAGACCAGAGCCAATTAGTGGCCAACAGCAACAACACCAACAGCAACAGCAACCACAGCAGCAGCTAGCGCAACTACAGACGCAGCAGACGCAACAACAGCTGCAGCTGCAGCGACAGCAACAGCAGCAAGTGCAGCAGCAATTGCTCGCCCAACAGCAACAGCAGCTGCAAATCCAACAACTGCAACAACAACTGCTGCTGCAACGGCTCGAGCGTGAGTTGCAGCAGCAACAGCAGCAACAGCAGCTAGCCCAACAGCAGCAGCAAATCCTCTACCATCAGCGACAACAGTACGAGCGTCTGAGCACACCTGGACGACATCGCTGGCTAACGAGCAGCAATCACTACGGTTACACGCCCTTGCAGCAACACCAGCACCAATATCACCAACATTCTCATCACCAACAGCAGCAGCAGCAGCAACAGTATAGCTATTACTTCAGTCGCGGCAGCAGCAGCTCCAGCGGGCTGGGTCTCGGCTTGGGTGTGGGCTTGGGTTTCGGACTGGGCAGCAGCAATCTTGCCAGCTGGTACCATCTGCCGTCCACCTCGGCGCACATTTACATTGGCAGCAGCAGCACCGGCGGCGCTCCGTATCCCTATCGTCTAGGCTACAGTGGTGGCGGCTATCCTGCTGCAGCGCTGATTAACTTCGACGCGTCGCCCACACCGCTATTAGCATCAGCGGGCAGCTCACCCGGCTATCTGCCGCCTCTGCCGGAACCGGTGCTGCCACCACCGCCACCAGCGCCGAGCGTAGCCACCGATTATTACTTCAGCAGCAGCAGCAGCAGCCGACCGCCCGCAATAGTCGCAGCCGAGCCGTTTCAGGATTACGCATCGGCAGCGGTAGCAGCGGCGGAAGAGGAGCTGCAAGCTGGCGGCTATCGCTACAAGGCCACGCCACGCCGGCGCTACGACGCCTACGACAACTACGGCTATCTGCCGGGCCTTGCCAGCACAACCGAGGACGAGGACGATCTACTTGAGGAGTGCCTGCCGACGGCTTTGCTATCCACGGACTGTGAGAGTCTCGAGGACGTGCGTTTCCTGCAATACAATAGCAATCACCATCCGGAGTACGACGACGACGACGACGAAGAGGCACAGCTGGCGCACATACTCGATCTTGATCTGCCCGATTTTCTGCGCCCTTACAGCAGCAGCAACAGCGGCGGCGGCGGAAGCAGACACAGCCACAAAACGCCGCCTCAAAACGAATATCAAACGGAGCACGGCGGCTCAGCCGGAGCAGGAGCAACCGGAGGAGGAGGGACTGGAGCAGGAGGCGGAGGCGGCGGGGGCAGCAGGAGCGAAGGAAGTGCCAATCAATCGCATCGTGAAACGGAACAACAACGCTATCACCACTACCAGCAGCAGCAGCAACAGCAGCAGCAGCAGCACCAACATCATCAGCACCAACATCATCAGCACCAGCATCAACATCAGCACCAACACCAGCAGCAGCAACAGCAGCAGCAATCGCAGCAGCAACAGGCCTACCAGTCCTACCAATACCCCTCGCACGACAGCTGTGAGGGCTTCAATCAGTTCGCCAACGCCAGCAGCTGCCTGGGCAATCAGAGAATGATGGTTAGCAAGTTGTGGAACAGCTGCTTTCCGGAATTTACGCCGGATCACGTTCATCGGCATAACTTCTATCTGTGCCAGGTGAGCGGCAATGAAATCCCTATATCGTTTTGACCTAGTGGGATCAGCCTAAATGATAAAATTCATAGGCATCCTGCTCGAGACTTCTCAGTTAATATGATTAAATTGTAGTTGGAAAAATAACTCGTGCATAGAGTGTAGTCAATTATGTGGATGTAGGGATGAAGGGATGAAGGACCTTGGCTTAGTAGCCGGGGCTAAAAGCAACATTGATACTTAACTTAACTTAATGTATACACATTCGATCTTGTCGCTTGGGGCTCACATGAAACTAGTGCTAAGCGATCCATGGTTGATAATATTACCTAAAGACGCAAAGAAATCGGAATACACGGTTTTTACTAGCAGAAATGTTCTTATTGAAAACAATTTTGAATCTATCACTAATGTCTATAACCACATGTCTATCATACGCAGTGGCAGCGCAACACTCAGGTGCGTATTGTGTACCTGTTTTATCGTTGGATAACGGCGATAACATGTTTGGCGGCATTGGTCTGCTCGCTGCTGGACATTGGGCGCACGGAGGAGCACTTCGAGCACCACTATGCAAAATGGTGGATCTACCTGACCCACTGGGGACTGCTGTTTTGCACTGTGCAGGCATGGCTGGCCGCTTGGATAGTCACCCAGGGCATGATGGTGGAGCGTGAGGACTTTGAGGTTGTGCGCCAAGCGAAGAAGAGTCGCCTGCATCACCTCTACTGGGTGCTCTATACCTGTGCAACAGTGTACGCCTTTATTGTCACCATGTGCTACTGGCTGCTGGTCCACAATCCCGGTAAGTAAATAATTATCCAAATGAATATAGCAATTAAATAGAATGCGACAATGCTGTTGGCAAAGCTGATTTGCTGTTTTATAAATTCAATTCCCTGGTCCATACGTGATGCTAACCGATCGCTTATGGCAAAACGCCACGGCCCTGCAGCTCTCGCTCTCAATGGAGCCGCTGGCAATGCGAGTCACTACCACCAAACCGCCCACAGTGCAGCCGAAGGCTATGTACATTTTGGCCGCCTGCTCCAGGTAGCCGAATCTCGAGTATCTGTCACGGGAGATGACGTGCAATCGAAACGTATTGTACATGGTCCACGGTCCGAAGAGCGTCACGCAAAAGGTCAGCGGCAGATACAAATGCATGGCTAGGCCAGTGAGCAGGGCTAGAGTGCTGGTGAGGAAGACCGTGATGCTTAAAAATATCAAAATCCATAAGTTCGTGGTCAAGCAGGGAGGCCTCCAGAGGCCCAGGGGTGTATAGATTAACAACACAGCCAAGCCAATCAGTATGATATACCAGGTCAGGTCGAGTTCACGCACGCACAGAAACATAATCAGCAGAGTGAGGCTCTCGAACATGCACAGGAAGATGATCCAGTTCAAGGGATATATGAGCTGCAGCCGGCGGAAGCCAAGAAACGCCAATGTCAGATTCACCCAGGTCAGAAACAACAGCAGCATATTAAAGTTGCGCTCCGGTCCATTCAGCTGCGGCCGCCAGCGATAGGTCGAGAGTAGCCACTGCCCCGTGGACAGAACCACCTGGATGCCCAACAGAACATACACGTAGGAGAGGAAGGCCAGCCGCGAGGGTCTATCGGTGAATAGTCTGCTCATGCGACTGGAGTTGCGATCATGCCTCGATTCGGCATATGGCAAATAATGAGTGTTCAAGCTGGGATCGTACAACATAGCACTGTCCTCGGCCGGCATGTTGATGTTCGTATTTCTGTGCTTCCTTGGCTCCGTTTGCGTTTCCTCTGACCGTACGTAGAGCTCCGGCGCTGACGCAGATTTGTTAGACATGCTGCTTGTCAAGTAAAAGTTCCATTTTCCGACCGACTGACAAACTGACTAACTGACAGCCACTGACAAGTACTAGCTACACTTTGATAACAAAAAAAAACCCGAAAAAAAAAAACAACAAAAACAATAAAAACAAAAACATCGATACGAGCGACAAAATCAATTTGATGAGCGAACCGCCACGTGGACTCCCGCAGACCGTGCGCGGTTATTATCTGCAGGTATATGGAACAACTCTCGTCTTCATAGTATTCTCCGTGATGATGGTGCACTTCATTGGCCAGATACGTGCTGATCCGTCCGAACGGAACAATATTCCTGCCGCGATATTTTTTGTGCTCGCCTTCATCTCATTCTGCATCTATGTGAACGTCATGTGGCTGCGTCGCCACTTTCCATACAATTGGGTTGCCTGCAGTGCCATTGCCCTGATGCTCACCCTGGGCAATGGATTTATACTGATCGAACAGGACGAGGAGGATCTGCTTGTGGTGCTGGAAATCATAAGCCTGATGGTGGTCTTTCTGCTGTTGGGTTCTTGGCTGCCATCGCGTTTTTCCGCGCTTCTATATATAGGATTTGTTTGGCTAATTGTGGCGGTGCTGACGATCTCGATCCTACTAATTGTATGGGCATGCAGTGAAGATGAGAATGATCTTCCGCCTTACGTTGTCCATGGCGTTTTGTGGATTTGCATGTGTCCATTGCTGATGTTTCAGGGCCAAGTGATCAACGGCCTTCTCTGGAACTTGAAGCCCATTTTCGACATTCCCATTTGCTCGGTCCTGTTGCTGATCAATTATTTGGCCTGCTATGCATATGTTGATGCCACCCAAGACATTATATTTGCCCTACAAATAGCATCCTCTTCCAATAAGCGAGTCCTATCCCGCGGATTTGCCAATATGTAGAGCAAGCGGATCGCTGACAAGGCCCAACGTAACCCATAATTCAATTCATTCAAATCTAGCTAGTGAATATTTGTCGCAACAACTGTAATATGTTATTAAAGCCATTCTAAAAACTGGGCTAAGAATATAAATAAATGCTAGCGATAGAACATATGCAGCTTTCATATTTTAATTTATTTTACGATAGCCTTTGTTTTTTAGTGGAACAATTATTAATTGCATGTTGCAAATGCAATACTTCAACTCATTATTCATGAGAATAGTTCATTAGTCCAATTCATTATTCATTATTCCATCAGGAATATATACTATAATTTATGGAGAAAAAAGCATCTGCAATTCATTCTGTCCTTTTTTTGACAATTTTTATATGCCATCTAACTTCACAAAAGGAGCTAAATAAATGCCTCCCTCTCTCTCCCTCGTTCTCTCTCTCTCTCTCTCGTTTCGATCAATCTTCAATCTTTTCTTCCCCCTGCAGACATCCACAAAATTGACGCCTTGAACATCATGGTGCATGTTCTGAACTCCATCATAATGCTCATCGATCTGGCCATTGTGGGGCATCCGATTAAGATGAGCCACGCCTACTTTACCACAGGCATTGGGCTGGCATATGCCATTTTTACGGGCATTTACTTCTTGGCCGGCGGCACAGACAGGTAAGCGTATGGCATATATCCCAGTTGGATCAATTAATTATATTGCTTGGAATTGGGAATTAGGAAAAACCAAACTGCCATTTATCCGATGATGGACTGGACAAAGCCGGGCAAGGCCATCATTGTGACGGCGTGTGCCATCATTTTCACGTTCTTCGTGCACTTCTGCTGTTATCTGCTGTACCGTGGACGCGTCTGGCTTTTTACCAAGCTATGCATACGTGGACGCCACAATCGCGATGGCGAAATGGGAGAGGGGCTAAATGATGACTCCGGCTCGCGCATGGGTGGAGGCGGTGGTTTTGTTGGTGGTGCAGCTACTGTAGTTGGCGGCGGCGGCAGCAGCCAGGACTATGCACATCAGCAGCAGTATCCCATTGCGCATACGGAGCAGCCGCGTGCCATCTCACAGCAGCCGCCATCCAGCTACCAGGTGCCTCCACAATACTCGGGCTATTTACAGCAGCCGGTTGTGGCCGGCGTCAATGTGGGCGTGGTCAGCGCAGATGGAGTCTATCAGCCAATTGGCACAGACACGGGACGCACGAGCGGAGGTGGAGCCAGTGGAGGCGGTGCCGGTGGCAGTGGAGCCGATGGCGCTAGCAAGCACAAGAGTTCTGGTTCTGGCTCCGGTTCCGGCTCGGGCTCGGCACTAACACGTACTGTGGCCCATTTGGATGCTGCACAGCGGGAGCAGTTCCTCAATCCCAACAAGATCGTCGAGTATAAAATGTAAAGGCGTTGTACCCGGCACCGGTATACGTTCCGCTTGTCCATGAAGTTTCTGGAGAAGCACTGTGCGCAATGCGAGGCCGCGCGTCAAGCCGTCAACGAGGAGCAGCGCCACCTGGCGGCGGCCGATTCGCACGCGCACAGTGGTTAGTTTAAGATTTGCTTTTGCAGTTTAATTTCCAAGCCAGCTGCCCAGCATCCAGGCTCAATAGGTTTTAGTATGCTTAGTGTCGCAATTGGGTTTGTGGTTTGCCTGGTTTCGGGCAGTTGGTATTGTAGCCAGTATTTGGTATTCGTAGCTGTAAAGTAGTTTCGTAATTTTGTAAAAGCTTTGCCAGTTTTTGTAAGTCTGGCCGCTTTGCCAGCTACAGTAGTAATTCGTTTTGTGCGCAAACGCCGACAAGATTGTCAGCCACAGCGAATTAATTAATTTTAACTATTGATGTATGTAGTTGTCGTATCCTGAATAGAGTATATAGACAGACTCATCGATTTTGAGCAATTTCAAATATTTTCAATGGACTAAGTTGAACATTTTTATGTTACAACCAATACCAACAATACACACAAGCACCTTTCATTTAACTGACAGCAATTGTGTTCAGAAATAAGTAGGCAACTATATAAAAACACAGAGCGTCCATTAATTAATAATTCAGTTGGCTAAGCTATCGAACAAAAACACATACTGCCTAAAATGTGGCACACACACACATACCCATTAACACAATGTTTCACATTCAACTCGATTACAATTGCTTATATCCTGCTTAATTTTTACCAAACATTACACACATATATCGGTGCAGGAGTACAACAGACGTGTGCCAAGTGTCCTGCAAGCAGCAATTAAGGAGTCAGGTTTTTCGTTGCAATTCGCTCGCATAAGGGACACTGTGCATAGGCGTAAAAAAACAAACACACACACTCAAAGAAGTAATTTTTTTGTTAAACATATAAATAAATGTTAAGTTTAGGACATGCTTGGCACTGCTTATAGTTTACCAACAAAAAATAAAACTAAAATTAAAAAAAGCATAAGGCACAGAAAGATTAAAAAAAAAAAAAAAACAAAAACAAAAACAATATAAATTAGTTAACGTGTAACTGAGTATTTTGAAGCAATCGCAAATGCTGCGTTAAACCAATAAATAAAGTCAAATGAATAATAAGTGCACGATATTGAAAATTATAATGGATTATCTAAATCAAATATTTAAACATTAATAAGAAAATAAAACAAAATAGTTTGTATAATGTTAAACCAGTTGCAGAATGCAGTATTAAATAGATTAATGAACAATAATTGATTGCTCAGAGCCCAGATAATAGTTGTACGATACGTTAATGTTGAATCGAGGGCCCCTTAAGATATAGGATTCGCATACCTTGTACCACAATTCACAATTCACAATGACCTGAACACCTGGACAACAAAAAACCTACACTTACAAAATAAATAAACATTTATCAATTGAATAGAGTTAATGCAGCTACTAATGAATATGTATTTTAAATATTTATGTGCATGTAAATATTTGTTTTTCATATATGTTCTATATATGCAAGCGTATATTTAAAAAATAAATGCATACGCAGATGTTAGAAAATTAAATCAAAACAAAATCAATAAGATCGTACTAGTAAAAGTTCTATGCAAAATGTTGTAATACAAAATTTTGAACAAAAACAAAGCCCGAAAACAAAAATCAAATGCAATGAATTAAACTCGTCAAGAGGAATGTGTTAACAAACAAATAGATACAAAATGATATTTAACTAAATACATACACACTCACACACATATATATATATATATTAATTGAAATTCAAAAACAAAACAAAAATAATAACAGAGTGTGCTCTATAAACAATATCCGAGTACAGAACATATAGTACATAAGCATGCACCAATGCATGTATTAGAAATATGTGTACATTACAATTAATTTTCGATAGATTTACATACAAATAACAAGATACCTAAACGGCACATACACACACACGCTCACACACAAAAACACACACAGAAACAAAACGAATATATATATATATACATATATATATATAGAAAAAGTTGAAATAAATGTTCAAACATTTAGTATGTGTGTATATGTTAAGCGTTTTATGGCCATTTTTCGTTAAACATTTTCTTTTTTCATACCCTTGCAGTGGGTTTTTGACAAAATTTATATTACGGTGTGTATGTATAATGAAGTGGTTTCTCAGATCCCAAAGAGGTCTATTTTGCTGATTTCATGTCCGTCCATCCGGTTTAGACTTTCAGACTTGAAGCTCAAGTTTCCCAAATAAGTGTATCCCACAAGTCAAGTCGCCGATTTTGATTTGAATCCAGATACTTTACATATTTAATTGATGTAATAAATGCATTCTATGTGTTATAAGTCTGCATGGGTATTTGAATCTCGGTGCGCCGAGTATGCATTTTTTATGTTTTATTTGTAATCATGTTTTTAATAAAATGTTTGTATGTGAATATATTTTGGCATTTCCAAAGTTCATTTGTCTTTGTAACCAGTTTTTGTTAGGGTTTTAGCAGAACTGAAAATATGCTTCATATTTTTGCTTTGCGACCTTTAGGATAAATGTATAAATGTATGTTTATATAGACTGAATATTATTAAATAAACATCAAAAAGGAAATAAATAAATAAACAAACAAATTAAACCCAAGTTATTCATATAAAATATAAATAGATCACTTTCCGATTGTGTAAAATATAAAACAAAGAGTTGTATTAACCACAAAAAAAAAACAAAAAGCACATATCAATAATTAAACAAATTAAATGCGAAATAAAAACAAAACGAACACTGATATTCTACAAAGCGAAACTCAAAGTTGCATATTCGAAAACTAAAAAAACCAAAAAGCCCTAATTAATGTTGACCTCATCAAAAACCAAATACACACATAATAAATGTTTAATAAAACATAAATGTTAAGCAATCATAATAATAATATGTATACACACTTAGGTACATGCGAATAAGTATAAGGCAAGAGAAGAAATTTAAATATTATATTTTGTAGATTTTTAGTAAAGTAGCAACATGTCAAGATACACACATATATCTACTATAAACCTACTCTAATCACACACACACACACATATACATTAACGATCATCAATATGTACTCGATATGAGAATATTTACTTGTATTCAAATGTTCAAGCAACAAACGACAAATGGCAAAGCTTTAAGATACTAGAACTTTGGACGGAAACTTTTTACAAGTGGATAAATGTAACAAATGTTTCAGTTCTAAGCAAGAAGTTGGCTCATTATACTGAAGTATATTTAATAATTTAGTGGCAGATACCATAAGTTGCTCAACAGACGGCGTTAGCAGTTAGTGAAAAGCTATAGATAAATCCGAGATCAAAAGAAAAAAAAAAAACTTATAAACCAATTGCACTCCAAAAAGAAAAGAAAACAAATTAAATATACAACATTAACAATTTTAAAGAACCCAAATTAAAATGCATGCGTTGAAAATAAAAGCAAATGCGTATACAGAGATATACCCTTCTTCAATATAAGTAATTATGAAATTTAAACACGAGATAAATTAGACATAAAACCAATTGTTTACCTTTCAAGTATTTCTCCGCATTTAAGCAAAACGATAACAAACAACAAATGATTTAAATAATTGTTCAAAATAAAAGCACTAAATGCGTGGAGCCGAAATTACAAAGCATATTTAAACCGAGGTTTTTATTAACACCAACTAAACAAGAACGAAAACTTTTCATTGCGGAAATTGTAGATGGATTAAAAACACCCTCAGATAAGCCTAGCAAATGGAGATCTACATGTATTATTACCAAAACAAACAAAAACAAATATATATATATACACATATATATATATATGTATAAATCAAAAGCAAAACCAAAAGTAAATCCATAAATACCCATATATACTTTAATAATATGAAGTATAACTACCTATTATTATTATGTATTTGAAAGCAAAGCATTGTGAATTAGTATTAAAACAAGCAAACAACAAACAAAAGGTGGTAAATAAAGATTGTAAACGAAATAAATAAATTATAAAAAAATATAAATCGTGTTTGGCGAGCGGTAGGGTACCATGGGCAGAGTACCTATACCCGGATTCTAAACATGGCATCTACGTCAAATTAAAATTTTTCATACAAGCTATGAGATTCTTCCAAAACCCGTTTATGTCTTGTTCTCCCTCTGTTTGTTCTATACAGAGTGAGTGACTGACTTGCTGAGCAAATTTCAGCATAATCTATAGCAAATTTCTTGGATATCAACTTAAAAGTAAGCCCTGCGTAATAAATATATATTTTCAGCATCCTTATGAGAAAACATCCATCATTTTTTATTTATTTATTTCTCTTAACATTCTGGTTCTCTTCAAAGCTCTAGAACGTATTTTCTACATAATTACTTTATATATTTTGTAAACTAATATTATGTATTATGGTATTGTGTTCAGTTAAACGAAAAGAATTTGATTTCTTCGTATGATTACTGAAATATAATATATATAATATTTGCATAGTTGATAACTCCAAGCCTTTTCGAAAGGGTTCCTGGTTTCATTAAAATATGCAACTAAATAGAAAAACAATCATCCGTTGGCCTCATTGTGCGCGTTGCCAGTATTAATCTTGAAGAAAGTTTAGTTATCATAAATTTATTAATATATGCATCGATTTTTAATACTTAATACAAAATCTATTTGTCGGTTGGTTTCTTTTAGTTTCACACATTTATAATTGATTTCTGTTTTAGCCATAGATACATTTACTTTTACATTTATTTTTACTTTATTATTAAATAATTAGTAACATAATTTGGTTTACTGCGCCTTAAAAAGTAATCATCATTTAAATGTATACATAATCACGTTCCTTTTCATTCACTTCACTTTTGTGTAATTTAAATTATACAAACATAAACATACAAAGGGAGACTGCGTAGGTTAAGTAATTACACTTTATATCACGTATGGGGGGGTTGTGTATGGTTGGCAGAACTTGGACAAAAATAACAAAATGTTAGGCAAAAACAAAGTCAAGAACTTTTAAGTTAAGCGTACAAAAGTGCAAAGCAATTTAAAAAAGGAGATATTTAATTTTGTAACTGAAAATTCGTCGCTGGCTCAGCCTATTCCGTATCTAAGAGAGTTTCAAATAGGATGGCGGCGAGCATTTCTTGCGCAAGAACTTGATTATGTACAGCGGCAAGCAGGAGACGAGTGTAATGAGCGATACTTTCCAGAGAAAGTCGTATGACCAGATAAACTCCCAGTCTGCAAGCAATATAAACAATAAGATATAACAGATCAAAGCATTCCACGATAATACACACCGAAATACTCGTGCAGCACCGCCAGTGAGATGAGATAAAGCGCCAAGCTAAATAGTTCCGCTAAGACCATAAGCCTAGGAAGTAAATCAATTTAAATAAACAGATAACAGTCAAAAATTTGTATAACATTCTTACCTGTGCCAGGTGCGCACCGTCAATGCAACCATGATGAGTTCTGTCATAATAAGCGCCGAGAAACTGATTGCTACAATGTGTATAAACTCATCGACAAAGAGTATTAGGGCGCCGTACATTATGACACCACCCTGGTAGATGCTGATAAGTACCCAAATGAAAAAGGTCTTATAGCTAAGACTTCGTCCTTTGGAAAGATCTTTGTAGAGCTCCGGATACGTAACAGCTGTCTCTGATGTAATATCCTGATCTAGCACCAGGGAAAACACAGGAAACATGGTATACAACGTCGAATAGCCCACCATCAAGAAGCCCTGATACAAAGCCACCGAACTCAGATAAAATACCGCTGAGAAAACTGCCTGCAGTGTGGTAATTATCAATCCACGGTGTATTACAAACTGGGAAAGCGCCGCGGAGCGTTTGTAGCTGCGTCTTCCATGGATCAACAGCAACTTGGCGATGTGCGAGAATTGCGGAATGCTAAAGTCTCCTGCCAGAGAGGCCTGACGGCCTTCGCGTCCCTCGATGCCCACACCCGCATCCGCCTGCTGAATCATGCTAACATCGTTGCCACCATCGCCCACTGCACAGGTTCGCTTGCGTGTGTGCTTCTGGATAAGCGCCACCACCTGCGCCTTTTGGGTGGGCGAGCAGCGGCAGCATACGACTGCCGGTGATGCGGTGGCTAGTTCCAAAAACTCGAGTCGATAATACTGTAGGCAGACCTCCAGCGACTCGCCGGATATGACCAGCGCGTGGCCCTGCTTGCGCCGAAACTGATTAAGCTCCTGATGCGCTTCCGTACGCGTCTTTACAGAACGCAAAACATGCAGACCCTGGTTACGTCCGATCAGCTGCGATGACTTGGCAATGCAGCAAGCGGTTTCCAATTTATCGCCTGTCAACATCCAGACACGGACACCCGCGTTGCGCAACAGCTCTAGAGTGGGGCGTACATTCTCCTGCAAGCGATCCTCAACGCCTGTGAGACACAGCAGCTCCATTTCGCGCTCCAATGACTCTGTTACCGCGGCTACTTTAGCCACACGATCCGTAATGCTGAGGCGTGCCGCATTATAGCGCATCTCAAAGTCGTTGTACTGCTCTTCGGTGAGCACCTTCTTGGCGACGACAAGCGTGCGCAGACCCTCGCGGGCCATGTTGCCAGACTCCTCGCTGAGCCAGTCATTGTACTGCACAATCGTGGACATGACCACATCGGCACCCTTCAGATAAAAGGTTATCTGGCCAGACTTGCTTTCACGCACAATAATACCCATTCGCTTGCTCTCGCTCGTAAAAGGAAACAGCTGCAAGATCTGATAGTGCAGCAGTATATCGTCTAAAAAGGATTTCAAATTAGTTAAGGCATCGGTGGCAACATAAATATGTTACTGGCTCTTACTTTCTTCAGTAGCGGTCTTCACCTGCAGCGTCATGGTGTTAAGATCTCGGGCAATTAGTGTTAGGCCCACCTGCTCGGTCCACTTGACCAAGGCGATCTCATCGGGTGAGGCAGCCTGATACTGATGCTCCGTGTCAGTGCTGCCGGGCGCCTCAATGTTTATCACAGATTTGGTGGGCGAATTATTGCCGCCAGTCACCGTCGAGGCAGTGGACACAGAACGATTGTCCTCTTCATCGCTCACCGGTGTCACATTGTGACACAAGGCCAGAGCACGTACCGCCTCCCACTCGCGCCAGCCCTCGGGACGACGCATGCGGTTCCCAGCAAACATTATCGGTTTAATGGACTCGCCGGCGCTGCTGGAGCTGGAGAGGCTGCCTTGTTGTTGCTGCTGTTGCAGTATATTCCCAGACAGTTTCTGTATGATCTGGCCAATGTGATGGAAGGTGTCGGCATCGTGCGAAACTATGCCCAAGTGAATCTTCTTGAAGACCATTTCGTTTTGGGTCAGCGTGCCTGTCTTATCAGTTAGCACATACGAGATGCGCCCCAGCTCCTCGGGTATGGTGGTGGAGCGCACCACAGTGCCTTTGATATTGTCATCGTTTTGCATTTGCCACGAGTAAAAAGCTTTTCCCATGTCGAGATTCACACGCAGACTGATCGGTATAATGTACGAGAACAGCAGCACAAAGCGGAACATGTAACGGTACCACGGACCGCCAAATCCCTTCAGCATCATCATGACCAGCGAGAGGCCAAGGACGGCACAAAAAAGCACCTGTTTGGGTAGACAACACACTCTGTTAAACTCAAGTCTCAAACCTTACAATATATACTGTTACCTTGGTTAGTCCGTTGATCTCAGTGTCCAGCAGTCCCACTTTAGAGCGAGGCTGTGAGTTATTCATTACGCTGCGTGTCTCACAGCCCGTATAGATGACAATGCCTGTGGCAGTGCCGGCAGCAACCACTGTGTTGGCCCAGAGCGTGTTCTCCACGCTGAGTCCGGTGTCCTCGCTGCCATCTGTCATGCAGAAGGTGGCAATAAAACTGTGTATATCATTCTGTGGCTTCTCCACGTAGAAGCTCGCATCGATGTTGTACAGGTCTGCGTCCCTGCAAAGTTTTTGCGTGTAGGGCACCGCCAATCGTGGCTTCCAATCGGTCTCGCCGTCCAGTTGATCGGTGCGCACAAAGACAGAGCCGCTGCGGTCGCTTGTGCGCAGCAAGATAAGATCCGCTGGAACTCGCTCGTTCTTCTCCACAATGATAACATCGCCCACTTTAAGTTTTGAGCTGGGCACCAATTCGTAGCCGGTGCCATGTGCGGCCGAAAGTCGTTTGTACTTCTGCGAGTTGACCTCATGATCGCGCTGATGTCGGCGCAGATCGTCCACCGCCTCCCGGCAGATAGTCACCATCAGCACAAACCCGAGCGGACCCCAGTAGGTGTACGGGTAGCCAATGCGTATGTCTGGTATAAACTGGGAGAGCGCCATCAGCAGAAAGTACAGGTTGAGAAAAAAGCGAAACTGCTCGAACAGCACCAGCGGCAGGAACGTGATGAAATTGTACTTTTGGTTCCGTATCTCGTTTGGCGGAAACTTCTCCGTGTTGGGCCTGCCCAAGTTGACTGTGCGAGCGCGCAGTTCTCGTGGCCTGAACCATCTTTTCCAGCAGCTGTAAGACCACAAAAGTGTCAATATATTTACATCAGAGAAGCCAGCTTACAGCCAATGCCTGACAGAGCACCTGATGCGTACTTGTTCTCGGACTGGATATGACTTTGGTCCAAGCTTAAATCGAGCAAGTAACGTGTCGCTTGTATTCAGCGAAATATATGCTTTGGAAACAAACATTAGTCTAGATTCCAATTAGATGGTAATAATGGTATAGTTTTAAAAAGATTGCGTTTTACAACAAATATTCCTTGGATCGTCGAAATATTTGAGTACCTAATTAATAACGAATCGTCAAATGATTTGTTATAAAAATTGGTTTGATGTATGAGGCAAGGCCTTAAGAATCTAAGTTTAGTTTACTTGGGAAATATATTGATAAGGTATCTATTTAGATATACATTACATGTAACTCTTTAGTATATTTCTGGATTCTTGGCTTAAATTATTAATTGAGAGCAACTTCTTTTTTGCGAAGTTTCCTAACCATTTTCAAGCAATAGACAAGTTTCCCATTTCCCAAGAGTTAACCAAATATTTCTAGACTTCAACCCCATTATTAATTAATTATTTAATTAATAATAATTACCAGCTTATTAAACTAGCTTATATAAAATATTGTTATTGCCTTTCGCAGATTTACATTTTTTAAAAGAAATTGACCTTGGCAAAAAGTAAATCAATAATTTACAAACACTCAATAAACAAAACAAGAAAATGTGTATGTGATGCATTCATAACACGTACACATACATATGTACATACGTATGCGTGAGGAGTAAGTAGAAAGGTTGTCACATAAAGAGAGACGGGAGAGGATTTGCCATTTACTGCAACGGCGCTCTGTAAAATGACTGTCTGGCCCATGCGGGAGGTATACTCAGTGCGAAAATGCTGATAAACCAGATTGCCCGTTAGACGGAACTGGGGTCATGGATATTATGATGATTCACCTGAACGAATACCAGCGATTTCGCTGGCGATTCAGTAGCGGAATATTCTCTCTGGTCATGGGGGCTGCAGCAGAAGATTGTGAAACGGCGTCATCCATTTTTCGACTGCTCTAAATGACAATTAATAGCTGAATTTTGATAGTTTTTAATTGCGGGTGCTGAGCTGACGCTGCCTTTGGGCTTTGTTCTGCCAGGCAGCTGTGTCGTTGTTTGTTTTTGTTTTCGTATCGTTTCACACAGCAATACACATAGTGCATGGTACACGGTTCACTTCGCGTATATGCATGTCCATCTACTTGAACAAAATTACACTTGCACTTATAATAATGAAGACACCTATATTAAATTCTTATGCACAAATCGCAACGCAAATGAAATTCCGTGTCAAAACTACGTTGTCTGGCATTTGTTTAACCACCCTGTTTGCTGGCAAAGAGAAATCAATAACAACTACCGTTCGCCTAAGTGAGAGCGAGTGCACGCTAGTTAGCTAAGCGCGTGATATGTGTTAGCAGAGCACAGCTAGCGCACACCCGCTTTGCTTTTAAAGTCTGGCAACACTGCGCGAGCTATGGCGCGCAGTGGCACAGCAATTTAAATATTCGAGCATAGTTATATTACATATATATATATGACAGTCAAATTTGCCGATTGCGCATTTCGCTGCCTTCGCACAGCCGTGTTAATTAAATATACTTCGTCAGACTTTTGTTATTGCTGCCAGTCGCTGCTTGGATCAGCAACATCAGAGTAGTGTATACAATTCGGCCGGCTCCACTGGTTGCTTGTTTGCTTTTACTCTCTGGGTAAACTTGTTTCAGCCTTTACGGCCAGCTTGAATTGGTTGTATTGCGGGCGTTGGGCGTGTTAACGTATCTGTCCGTAAAATGTATATACTATTCATTTGAGTAGACTGCGTCTTAGAAACGTTTTGTCAATAAAGTCTTTTAAAAATGCTCGCTGCGTTTGCGTGCTATGATCTCATACAAAAAAGTTGTCCATAAAATAAAACCCATAAAAATGAAGAGCCACCACCACAAAAATGTCAACAACAACAACAACTATTAAGAATGGCAAAATACAAAAAAAAAAAACGGTTCAATGACATCAACAACGCGAATTATTTTGTAAAATGCTCAAAAATTGAGAAATGGTTAAAGACAAAGATCTCGGCCAGACAAAGGGTCAGTTCTCAAATGTAAAAGTCGGTAACAACCAACCGACGAATCTGTATCCCACATAGCTCTGACTCAGAGGCATTGCCGTCGTGCAACGCGTCGCACTTCAAAAGCCGTGCCGCACTGTTGTCACCATTCCACCATTTCCCTAGCTCGTGCCCATTAGCTATATTTTATTTAAAATTTTTTTCCCTGTTATTATTCCTCATAATTGCTTAGCCAAGTTGAAAACGTAAACAACTATTTCAGCCCGCCTTTTTTTTGGCATTTCCGTAGCATCAGCTAATTGCGAAATATAATGCATTTTACCCTATTACAGCACGTCGCAGAATTACGATTCGTATATGCATTTATATATGTACAGATATACATATATGAAATTGTGAAACGTTTTCAGAATTGCCAACAGTTGATATCATTGTTGTTGGATCACAAGCACGATTTCCTCCTGTTGACAAATTGTTATACAGCTGTATTTGCTTTTCCCATTACACTTATTAACAATAGCAATTGCTAAAGATGATTTCCAAGTTATTTCAGGCCTTAAAACACTGATTAATCTAGGTTAAAGATTAACTTATTGAGTTCTGATTGACATCGAATTACAATTTCAGTTGAATTGTCGCAATTAGCTTACAAAATGTTGTATATGAAAAATATAGAAAGCTGCTACATTTACGCTAGGCTCTAAACCGGATTATCATGTGCTATACAATTTAATTATCAATAATAAATAATTCAATAATCAAAATATCTTAAACTTGCCCGTTCACATTTGGGAATTAGAAAGTTTGGATAAGCTGACAAATTGTATACTTCTTCACGATCTGTACTTATTTCTGAATACAAGCACATAATTGAATTAAGATAGTGTAGAAATGAGTTTTAAGTATGTTATGTTTGGCTTTTGTATTAGTTTTAAATAAATTCAGCTAGTCGCACAGCTAAGCAAACAAAATGTACTCAATATGGCAATTGCCGACGGGCAACCGTCAACTGCCAACTGGTGGCAGCATAGTTTTTCCCAAGCTTTTCACCGCGACTTTTCGCTGCTGTTTTACTTTAGCTCCAGCCACGAGTTTGTCGTCGTGTTGCATGCAAAACAGCCCCCATGCCTGGGTCTTAACCAGTTCCAGATCCATTTCCAGGGGGCGCCACGTCAATGGCAACGCCTAATGTTATTGTTTGTTGGCCACAATTTGCCAAGAGTTGGCAACGAAACGGCACATTGTTTCACCCGCTGCTGGCAAAGTGGGTTAATAAGCTAAATAAACGCAAGTCAACCTTCAGCAGTGGGGCCTCTACTCTCCAAGCCCATCGCACCTATTTATAGCGTACGGTTCGCAGAACCGGCATCGGACTTCTAATCACTGGCGCTCGCCCATTTGCCCTGGAATCAGCCGAGCGACTCGAGTCCGGGCGCATGTCGGGGCGGTCCAGAGCATCGCAGGCGGCCCGCTTATTGACACACAAATTGATAATTTGCCGGTGTGGGTCTCAACTGTCCCCTGTCCCCTGGTTAACGGTTACCGACAGGTGGCAAGTGGCACATAAATTATGCGCCTTAGTCGAGCAGTCCGTCAGCCAGCCCATAGCGCATTGTCTGCCCTGAAATTAATTCCTTTGGCGCGACTTATTTGAAAGCGAAGAGAAAATTCCCCAGTGTCGCGACACTTTTGCGGTATTTACGGATATGTCTTGTTTTTCCAGCCAGCAATTCTTTCTTGCCTTTTCCTATAGCCACTGTGTTTGAATTTATTACCTGCAGCTTACTGAGAAGTTATTTACGGCTTACTTAACTCAGACTGAGGCAGAATAACTGCTTAAAATTTTGCAGCTATTTACTTTGCTTCGTATGAAATCAGACATCTGCACGAATTTCGATAAATCATTAATAATAATTAGCATATGTTATATAAATGGGCTGCAAGACCAACATTTACCCGATTAAAGATCATGAATTTTCCCCAAAAGTTATTTGTACTAAATTGACTGGATTTTGTGCAGAAGTTTTTTATATTATACCAAAACATCTGTTGTTTTAAAAGAAACTGGTTTCGATTATATTCAATTTATACTGAAAAATAAATTGAAATTCAAATTTGGAGTGGAGTGGAGTGAAATAATATCCATTTATCCCTTTCATATGGCATCCATAGCTAAATTATATTTTCCTGATAAACATTCTCAATTCTATTAAACAAAATATCTATATATTTAAGCCACATCTCTTAGTTGTTTTCTTTTGTATTTGTTATTGATTATAGCTTAAATTATTATTAACATGTGCTCCCAAACCAAACTAGAGCGGAAACTACAGAATAAACTCAAGCCAAAATTTCTAAATGATATCGCTTCGTTGTTCGGTTAGTTTCCGAGTTAATGGATATAATTTTGACTAATGCTCGCAATTAGGCCATCATCCAGTTGGTCAAGGCATGAGGTGAGAGCTGAGCTTAACGACACGTGGGTTCCACAACGTTGACTGCAATTCTAATCGGCCAAAATCTTAGAGAGCGCGAGCCAAACTGGAGGCAAACAATGAAAACAAAGGCCTCTGTGCAGTAAATGTGTAATATGGAGTAAGGCGGAAAGTCACAGCAACAAGACCTTCAAAGAAACACCTAAACGCCAACTCAAAGTCCGCCAGAGTGTCGAAAAAGAGTCAAATTTCCACTCGGGTTAAACAATTTATAAAGCGCGAATAAAATAACCTCTGGGTCAGATATTTTTGTTGCTAAAATAGGCCTTCGATGGGTATTCAGATGAAATTGAATTATTTTGTTGATTTCAAATTCCATTTTACTGCGCGTGCCTACGAATATTTTCGAATATTTTCTGGAATAATATTCAATAAACTAATTAGCAGAACGAGCTACTATCCAATCTAAGGAGTCAATAATTACCATATTATTGAAATAATTAAAACATATTAGAATTGAAAAATTCATTTAAAAGCCCAAATTAAACGCTCTTCGTGTATTTTAAGAAGTTAGCCAGTCCACAAAGAGCCCACGATAAGTTCTTTAATCAAGGCTCGTGCCTAGCTTAATATAGCACCAAAGAGCAATTATATAATTGTATTGTTTAGATAAGAACTCAATTAGCTTAATGCGAGACAGGCCTTTTTTAACTTAATGCCTGATAAGAATTCCATTACTCCAATATTAATTTGTGCATACAAACTGAACAGATGATAAAGACTACTCAGTTATGCAATTGCGACAAATATCAGATTTGCAGATTGAATCTATAGTAAGTGCATAAAACAAGCTACACCGCCTGATGGCTCTTCACATCGCCGAACAATGAGGCCTATTTTCTCAGGCCTTGTTTTGTGGCCATTGCCCAACTGAAGTCTTTGATGAGCTATGCGACGCGTTGCGGCTTTTTGCATTCATTTTTGGGGCTCTTGGTCTGGCCAGGGAACTGACCTCCTTCTGATAAGCCACGAGGGCACATAACTTTCAGTTTTCGACACAAGAAGAACGAAAAATGAACAATAAGCAAGCTCTAGTTGGGCATGCTCAACTAAGAGATGCCCTTGCTTCTTCTTATCGATGGTAAAAGAAATGTGTTTAAGCCATAAAACCGTGAAAATGAGCCCAAATAACCTACGAATTATGCTCATAGAACATTTTTATAACAAAATCAATATTTATAACATTATTTTATGAAAATTATAAAAGATATTGCAAATCCTGCTGTGTGTTGCATTAATTTTTGAAAATCTGTTATACCCTATTTAACTCATTCCCAATGGTTACAGGGCATTAAAAGCACACCAAAAAATAACTGGATGCGACTTTTGCTGCGGAACTCATTTCTGTTTTAGAAACCTTGAAAAAAGTAACATATCTAAGCATAACTGGTTTCTGTAGTTCAGTGTTCGGTTCTTCTAAGTTGAGCGTCTGACGACACCGAAAGCGAGTCGCGTTTGGCTTTTTCTTGGGGAGCTGCACGCCAAAAATCGATTACATATGCAAATTCCGCCCACCCCCCTGCCCCCCCTGCACGATTGTGTTGGAGACCAAAACAATTAGGGTCTTACGAAAAATAAAAAAAAAATACATATACCTCGGCGTGAGAAATGTGACAAACGCCGTAGTTTGTCACCTGCCTGATGGCGCACCGTTTATAAGGTGGTTCAGCCTATTGTAAATTTCCATTTGCATTTTCCCTTTTCGCTGGAATGGACAAATATATGTATGTGTGTGTACATACATCCATGTGTATAAACAGAAATACTGACGCTTCTCGTACTTGTGGATCTCGTTTATCGATTTCAAATTCGTTGCAAATGGCAAAATGTTTTGGTTCTTTATTTATTTTACCGGCGGCATTCGGTGTGCGCTCTTTCTCCATTCGTTTCTTTCTTGTTTTTCTTCTAATTAAGCAAATTAAAAATATATATTTATATATGCATGTGTTGAAACAATGTGTGCCACATATTATCGCAGGAAATGTCCATACATATATATTCGTGTATAATTTTACTCGCGTTTCAAAACACGAACTTTTCTTAGAAACGTCTCGACAACAATTTTGTCTGCCTCTGCAATTTTCTCTTCTTTTTCTATACACTATATCCATTGAAATTGGATTATAAAAGGTTATAATACACTAGTCAAAATGTATGTAACAGGCACAAGCATACATATGTATGTATCTCCATAGAATATACATATATGTCCGTCCATCTGTCTGCCTATCTAGCGATTCATCAAAATTTGACCTTAGGAATAAATGGAGGAGATTTCGAATGCGTGTACTGGGTGTCTGCTCGCCGAGCACTGCCGAGTAGCTTATTTATTTATTTTTTTTTGCCTTTGTGCTCTTTTCGTTTTCGTATTTGCTTTTATTTTTTCATTACTCGAACATTTTGAAATGTTTCCATTTGGCAGTTTAAATTTCAGCGATTCGTTTTTGCGGCCCAGCGCCAGCGTCATAAAATAACAGGCGCAACCTCGAAGCGATAATAAACAAAGCCAGTCGAGCAGAACTGGCTACCAAGAAAGGTTTCAAGATGAGAGCTACCAGTCTGAGGTAATAGCTCTAACGTTTGCCTTTGATTTAACAAAAAATAACAAAAAAAAAAAAACTGTAACACATGTGGATAACAGGAAGTTTAACCAGAACAGAGGAAGTTATTGCTGAGATCAAGCAGAAACTTAATAGATAGACAAGTTTTCTTTTAGCAACATTTAACAGAGCTACGATCTAGTTCTGGAACTGACACAATTCGACTGATATTAAAACGGGTTATTGTTTGTGAAACTAAATCTAAAGATCTTGTAAATGAAGAAGACTTCAAGTTTCTAACGATAATTGCTCTAATGTACCGATCTGCCGGTCTTCAATAAAATATTAATGCTAATATCTGCATATAACTCCCTCTGCAAATACAGCTTGCGCTCGTTTTATCGATCAACCACTGTACACGCATAAAACGTAAGCAGTCAAATATTGCGAATAAGTGGAAAAATGTTCGATCACTCAACGCAAGAAATACAATTAATTGCAATTATGAGAGAGCAGCAGCTGTTTTGGGAACACACACAACCTTTTTTTTTTTTGTTTTGAATGGGCAACAACAATTGTTGTGTGGCACATCACGTATACGCACAGCTTGACGTCCCGCAAACTCTTGCTGATAAAGTTCGTATGTTAACATGTATTTTTGTGTATGCTTGTTAGTGTGTGTGTGTGTGTGTGTGTGTGCGTGTGTGTAGCGTACCTGCAGAGACACATTTTACAGACATTGCCGATGCTGCGACTTTTGCTGCGCCTGCGATTGTTCTGGTAGAAGACCGTGGATGAGCCGTTCTCTGGATCGATCACTGTGTGAGAGCCAATACCGTTGGGCGCGCCGAGTTCTGTGGACACATATGGAGCTTGCGGCGTGGAGCTATCGACGCCAGCGGCGCCCGTTTGTGTTAGTTGCGCCAGTTTCGTTGCACTAGCGCCAGTTGTATGGTCCGACGTAATGTCTCGCGAGGCGCTGCCGCTGCTATTGCTATTTGAGTATTTGGCGCGCTCGCGGCTCCGCTCATTTCTATAACGTATCTGGCCGGCGGCTGAGCCAAGACTGAATAGATTGCCAAGAAAGCTGCCGCTGCCGCTGCCGACGCTAGAGGGGCCAACAATGCCGCCGATGCCGCCGTAACCAGTTGAGCTTTTGCGACGCCTATGCCCATTGTTGTTGCCGTTGCCGTTATTGTTGCCGTTGCCAATGGCAGCCTCAATGCTGCTGCCAGTGTGGCGTATGAGCAATTCTGTTTCCGAATCAGTCTCTTCGCTCTCTTCGTCGAAGTCACGTAGCGGCAGCTCGTTATCAGTCATGGCGTAAGAGAGCGTTCTATATGGATGTGTGCGAGAGCAAGGAAATGAGCGTAAAAGAGAGTGGGAGAGTGGGAGAGCGGGAGAGTGGAAGAGTGTGAGAGACCTTACACAGGTGTGTCTTGCTTGGACTGTCGCCTGCTTCAGTTTTGGCTAAGCTCGAATAAATTCTCTCAGTGCATTTATGTAGTTGCAGATGTTTTTTTGCCTTCTTCTTGTGCACTCCTTACCAAGCAGCTTTATCAAGCTTTTGCTTGCCACGTTTCCAATGAACGGTTTGCTTCAGCTTCAGCTTCAGCTGACTAATGCAATTCTTAAATGGGCACTGCACTCTGCACACTCTGCCCGCACTTCTGAGCAATTGTTTTGAACAAACAAAACGTGCGGCTGTCGGGCGTTGCCTTATCAATTGTTTTTATTAGTGCGCGTAAACATTTTTATAACACTTGGCTTATCGTATATTACCATACACGTTTCTAAATTGGGCGGCTGGAAGCATAGCACACAAACTCTCTCACGGGCGTACCCCGACGACGTCATCTACTACATCCATAAAACTGACGCCGCATGCTCGATCTTGTTGATACAAAAAAATTATCAACTGCAATTACTACCGGTTAATACTCAATAGATATAACAGCGTTTACTATAAAACGACAACAACGCGGCACTTTTAGTTTTATTACCATTAGCCCATGGCCCGGACCATACGCACGTAAGCACAGATACACTTCACCAACACACATGCGATAAGAAATTTTCAGCTACTTCGTTTACATTCACATTTTGCAGAAGCTCACGTTTTTTTTACATTTATATATATGCATAGTACTAACTAATATATAAAAATAATTAACAGCATTTTTAAGCACGTTTCCGTTTATTTTTGTTAAATGTGCTACCTGGCCAATCGTATTAATTTGGCCAAACTGTGGAACAGCTGTGTGTGCAGTGTTGGTAAATGCCGATTGTTTGCATGTTGAGAAGCGTTGAGCGCATATTTAAATCCAATTCGTAAAAAAATCACAATTTTTGTATGGAAATATAAGTATATCTCCGATTCAATATAGTATAAGGATTTCTGTTAAATGCCAACACAGCCATGCCCATTTGCCAAATGAAAATCTGTAAAAATCGAATTTTCTTAACGGCACTTTGCGCCTACCTTATAAGCATAGTCTTAACTATGTATATGGAAATCCATGTCGTACCTAAACCATCGAAACACTTGGTACAACAATCTTATAAGAAACCTGCTTTGTGGAATTTATATTTTATTTTATAAAATGGTATTTATTTAATCAATTTTATATATTTTATATGCATCTTATGATTTACCATTTAAACAAAAAACGGGAATTTACAACGAGATCTTATTTAAAAAAAAAAAACAAGTAAATATGCAGACATTAAACCAGCTTGTAGTTTGCTTACCAAAGCATTCTATAATTTAAAAATAAATATACAAGTGTTTCAAGTACATAATACGTTAAAAGCAATCTAGTGAAAATAAATTTTGCTAAAAACTCAGCACAACCAATAAACACATTGCTTTGTTTATGGGGCTTTACGACAGTTTATATAAATATAGATACTTGTATTATGTTTATGTAAATATATGGTTATATTGAACCGCAGCACACAAATCTTATCCTATCTGCGCTCCGTTTGCAGTGTTATGTTTGAGTCTGAATTGGAGTAGTTCTGTTCCAATCTGGCCCGAAAATCTTCCTCGTCATCCGAATAGGAGCCCACTGAGCGGCATATTCTGCAATAGGGAAATGTAAATAAGTAGAATAATTTACTGATAATTTGTTGTATATGCATATATATATGTCGTCTCAAGGAATATGTGTACTTATAAAACTATAAGAAAATTAATAAAGCTTAGAATTTGAAAATACCTCTCACTGTACGAAATATAAAATAAGAAACAATTTGCACAAAATAAATGGTTTATAAGTCATACCGCTGCGTTGACGCATAGCCCTCGATGGCCAGTGCCTGACTCACGCCCGACGGCAGCAACTGTTGGAGCAGTGCATCTTTGGCGGCGTTTGCCGTTGTGGGCAGTGGCACATGATTCATGTCAACCGATGAGTGCGACTGCGAGAGTTGCGTGTTGGCAGCCGCTGCGGTCAAGCCGTTGACATGTCTACCATTACCAGACAATTTGTCCCCTTGATCGACTTCATCGCGCTGAGTGCGCTCAATGTAGCGCAACGTGTCAAATAGCTCCAACAGATTACCAAATGTGTTGCGCATATTACAGTGACCGGTAATGTCAAAGCACAGCTGCGAAACGTTCTGCCGCAGCAAATAAATACCGTACTTGGTTTGTTGAGATGGCAGAATGGAACGCGTATACAAGGGGAACCTAAGATTGGGATAGAAAGTTATAAAGCATGCTTGTGTCAGATTTTAAGATTTCTTTGGCAACTCACTCTCGTGTGGGGTAGGTGAGTTCCTTGATTTCGTCTGCAATGCGTGCTCGAGACGGTTCATAGAATATGGGATTGCGTAGTGGGCGATCCATAATGAAAGCCAGCATCTGTACGAGATGCGCCACATAGCCGAGCGCTGCGCTCACCGCCAGCGGCGAGACATTCTCCAGCATCTGCGCATTGGTCGCCTGTCGCGATTCGCTCGTATAATGCTCCATGTGGGGAAAAGCTATGCCAGAAATGCTAAACTGTTGCGCGCCTAGACTCTTGATATTATAAATTTCCTGCAATTCCAGCACCAATGTTGACATGCGACGCTCCACCTATTGCACAAAGGCAACTGTTTGGTTACGGATTTAACAGATGGGTGACTCAAGACACAGCTTACCTGAAGGATGACTTGACGCTTCTGTTCACGCTCTAAAAGCTGTTGTGGCACCTGTTTGCGGAACTCCAGACGGTGTTGCTCTAGCTTAAGCTGTTGATTATGCAGCTTGTATTGCGCATCCTCGCGCTGTTCCCGCAGAAATTGTAAACGCTCCTGCTGCCGCGCATTGCGTTCTTTAAAGGTTGTGAGTTCGGTCTGGAGCAAACGCTGCTTGCAGCGCAACGCCTCAATCTGCTGCATCAGCTGCTGGGCACTGTAGAGGGTCAAGGGCGCAATCTCTTGTTGCTCTGCCAGCAGCACGCTAAGCGTGCGGCCCATGGAATGATAATGCTGAGAATGCTGACTGCCATAGGGCGAGCCGGAGAGTGAAGTCGTGCGCGGCTTTAACCTCAGTTCATTACGGGTAATACAATGCACGCTGAGACGTGCGATTTCCCTGCTCACTTCCTCCACGTCGCGCAATTTCTTGCGCTGATCACGCTGACGCCGCTGCAGCAGCAGGAGACTGTCCAAATTGTAACTTCGTCGCAGATTTGCTAGTTGACAGCTTAGCTGAGCGTAGCGTATCGTACTCATCTGCAGCACAGGACTGCTGCTGCGACTCACAGGCGGTGAGTTAATACCGCTTTCGATGGCCGCATTCCGTTCATTATTGTCATACTCGGCACAGCGCTGGTATTGTAGGCGCAGCTGGGCGTGCAAGCCCTCCTCACTAATCAGCGCCGGTGAGGTAAAGTGCTCGCCATTTAAATGGAAAATCAGACAGTTGGCTTGGCAATTGGCCATTGCCAGCGGCGCAAGGGGTATGAGGCCGGAAAAGTATACGCCCCAACTGAACAATAGCTCCGGTGGGCGTGGCAGCTTGTGAGGCGTTAACTGCACATTCGCTGAGCGCTGGCCGTGCCGCTCACTGAAAGCAAAATATACACAATCAATAAACAAAATTCACCATAAGCATTGCTTCCGTGATATTCGATCTAGTTAGATTCATTCACAACAAATGAAGAACAAATCGCACCTTTGTTGCTGCTCCGTTTCTTGTTCAGTCTCGTTTGGCCCGTTTGCCTGCTGGGCAGCCGGCTGATACTGTGCCCAGACTTTGACACACACGCACTGGGCATTGGACTTACGCCAGACGTCATCGCCCGCACATATCTCCGCCCACTTTTGCTGCTGGTGACGCTGCGGCAACGCCTCGCTGGTATAGAACGCTTCACTAGCCTTATCTGCATGAAGCGTGTAGTAGACAAGCAGCTCCTGCTCCTCCAAGCCAAATTCCTCTCCGGCGCTGGCGTCCAAGGTGCACTGAATGTTGAGTCCTTGTATGCGCGCCAGGTTGCGGAGTCGCAACTGCTGCGTTGCCAACGGCAGCCATTCGCGACAGCGCGGGCGCAAATGCATTACGGCTTCCGTTGGGGGTTATGCTGCGGTACAAGCGGTGCACATAGTAAGCCTACACTAAACGATTGTTTAAATTTACTCCAAAAATTACTTTTAACAACACTTTGGCTAAAACAGCTGATTTTGGCTGAACAACGGCAAACAGTGTGGCCGTATGCAATCAATTTACAACAAGCTGGCAGCATCGTTTCCTTTTTGGCTTATTACTGCTGAGTTATTTTATTGCAACAAATAACTGACGATCGAATAATTTAGAAATAAAACCGTTGAAGAAAAAATAAAAATTATAAATCAGCCTTATTATATATGGTTTAGGCTCTGTATAAAATTGAATTGTTAATGTTTCACGAAAAGGCAACAAATTTAGCTATTTTTCATCAAGCCAAACTGTATATACAACTGCACAACACTGCTGCTTGCTGGTATAAACAAAAAGCAGTGGCAACGCCAAGCAAGTAGTTTGTATTGGTGCGCGTAAAAGGCAGCTTGTTGCAAGGTTTTTCCAAACAAAATATTATTTTACGAGCATTTAAAAATTGAATAAAGTTAAGCTTACCAGTTGTCTACTTTTAGATGCTTAACTTTATTAAAGAGACAATAATGGCACCGTCCACACGCAGCAGCAGTAGCAATGTCAACCAAAACTCAAATGTCCAAGGATTGGACAAAGATCCAGATAAACAACAACGCGCTACAGCTAAGATGCAAGGTTACAAAATAACTGATAATGAACGCACACGAAAATATGGCATAGGTGCAAATTCATTGGAAATGCTACTGCAGAAAGCACATCTTAAGTTTCCGGTAGGTCTGTTTAAAACTTGAAGCAAATTGCGTTTCCACACAAAATCTGCCTCGTCGTACACCCGCCCACGAGTGGCCCTGTACATGTCCCTGTCCCTGGACATTCAAGGCCAATGTTTCCTGGCTGGCTTCCGCTTTGTTTGGCGCTCTGCACGCTTCAATGTCAGCAATACTCATACATCCAATGCGCATGCTTCAAAATAACAAACAAATCGGTAGCAGAGCACCTGTTGCTATCACAAAAATTGCTACATGTGCACTTAGGTCAGGGCCCATATTCATGGAAGTCAAGGACAGGCTACTCATACTCCCAATTCTTTACCCTTGGTGTCTTTCGACAGCTGCAGGAGTTGCACATTTATCTGGCCATTGACGGCTTTGAAGTCTCTGATGATGAATACTTCAAAAGTTTGCCTGCCCAAACGCTTTTTATTGTAGCTGGACCTGATGCAGTCATCACAACAGGTAAGGCAGCTTGGCAACGCTTAAAGCAAATTATGTTGAAAAACGGCTATTTATTATAAAACAGATGCAGACTTTGAATTTGAAAAAATGCGTCAACAGTCACCACTGTTGAAAGTAGCAGATATTTTCTATGAGTTTATTGAGCAGCATCCGGACAAGTTTCGGCGCATGATTACGGAATATGAACAACAGAAGCAACGCCGGGCTTTAGACAATACCAAAGCACATCTTAGCTTGAAGGCCGAGCACCTTGAATGGTTTGAGGGCAGCGAGGAACGCTTTCAATCCAAGGAAGAGGCCATGGCCATGAGAGCACAGACAAGAGTGCGTGGCTACTACTATAAGACCAAGGAGGAGCTAACACGCAATCAGTTGTACAGACAGAATGCCAAGGCGCGGCAGGTGATCAATTCGGTGCTAGACCAGTTCCGTTATCTGCTCATAGGCTGCGATTACTTTTCCATGATATTCAATCGCAAGTGCCAGCTTAAGCATGAGATGTTGCAGCAGCAAGTGGGCGTAGAGCAACCGGATGCGGGTAACGTGCCCAATAAACGGCTACGGCAAATAATTAAAGACTATACGTCGCGACATGCCATACTCGACGAATGGTCCGTTTCGTTATGCACGGACCTGGGCGACTTCTATTGCCAGGGGGCCTACTCGGACAATGGAAATAACTGCTCGTTGAGGCACACCATTAACCCGTATGCCTCTCGTGAGAATCTTATATTGTTTCAAGTGTGGAACCTTGATCATCAAATTGAACTGTGTCGCTCCATTTTGCCCGCCCTGGTGGCCAATGTTAAAGAGCTAGTATCACAACCTCAAAAAAAGTGCGCGCTGCACAACAAACGCATAGTGGACATCTCTGTACTAGAATATTTTCTGGAAATATTCTCGCTGAAGAACCTGAAATTAGTCCATATTGTATGCCATGAAAAAGTGCAGCGCACAAATCATTCTAATGGCCGACTCCTGTGCGGCGACTGCCACGAGTATCGCATTGTGCAAGAGCTCATGGATTTGCAGAAATCAGACACAACCTCCTAGGAAAAAAACTGTTAAAGTAACCTACTAAAGCAATATTATACACAATAACTATGTACTTATAACTTATATACTTGTATGCGAGCTGCTTTAATTGTATGCCAAGTTAAGAACTGTGTATATACATATGATTTAAACAGGTCTCAAACAAGTTAACTTAAAGCCAAATTGTACAAATCTAAACAAAGTATCTTAAAGTTAACTATCAAAGTTTAGTGTTGAAAGTATTTATAATGATTGACATATTTATGCATTTAATACATGGTAAAAGTTGATCTGCATACCATTTATACAATATACATATATAGACTAGCTTTAAATGTTGTTAACTGTAGTGCGCGTAGATGAGTTTTGAGCAGGTATTTTGCCCGTTGCTTTGTTCAACATGTCTATTTTAAGATACTGTATACTCAAATATATACTACATACTTACACCCGTTACATAATATACAAGAATACGGGTAATTGATTCTACCTAAATCTAAAATCAAAATGTATATGCCATTATTGTAGTGCAATATGAATATTACTAACAACGATTTTGCTACGCTCGGCTTCTCTGTACCTCTAAAGAAACAATTAAAAGATTTTAATGTATTTGACATATGTTGTTGCAATTTCTTTTTGCTGACTTTGTGATATAATTACTATTTTCAAATCAAAGATTTAAAAACATTGTTTTAAGATATTTCTTTATTTACTAAAAAATTTCACTGCATAAAAAATTATACAACACAAAATATATGAGTATGAAATAATAATAGTCGTCATATAGATTTTATAACAAATTCGTATGCATACGAATACCATATGTATGTATATGTTTTGTATAAATAACTATGACAAACAAAAACTATCTTGTTAAAAATGAAAAGGTGTTCTAAATCAAATGTCGCTTGATGAAGACAACACACAAAGATTACTTAAACCAAAATTATTTATTTTTATAAGTATTAATCGTTTTTAAGATGCACTCTCGCATTATCCGGATAAATATTATGTTTGATTGGTCGATTTGCTGTCATTGCGTTGTTTTCGTTTCGTTGTTACCTCAATGCGTCTAAGGGTTAGTTCTCTCTCGTGTAAACATTTTACATACTAAAGAGTCAAGGTTAGTAATGATTCGCTTCGCTAGTAGTGTTCGTAAGTTTTGTTAGAGGTTTTAGTGCTGCTACCAAATCGCGATTAACAATTGAAGAAATACATTTCCATCTCAACTACTATGCTACGTTAGTTTGATGAAATTCCACTAAAAAACTATTACTGCAGGGCCCGTTCCCAAGGTATATCTGACTGTGTTGATCCTAAGTGTGCTGGTACTTAAACTAAGGACAAAGTCTGTTGTCAGGCTATAATTGATTTCTATGGTTTTGAGAAATAATTATAGATCCGATTGTCCAGGGCCTGAAATAGAGTAAACAAAGGCATAATTAAATAAATGTTGAACGCATCATAACGTTTACGAATAAAGCTAACAATCAGTTGTGGAAAGTTGTTTGTCTTCGACTTTTTGCTTAGTTTGTTAAGCTTGAAAGATATCTAAATCCGAAGACCAGACATAGGTAGAACATAACAAATACAAATGAAGCGGCAAATAATAATTGTAACTTGCAGGAGTGCAAAGCAGCCAAAGAACTTTGAGAGGAAACTTCACCTTAATTGTTTTTATATATGGTATGTTTTTTCATTTGTCAATTTTCTTATAATTTTTTAGGGAAAAAGCCATTCATATTCATTGTCATCAAAATAAATGATTAATTTTTGTTAAGAATATATATTTTTTATTGTGTGTAAAAACAAGTTAATCAAGTATAAGAAAAGAAACATTCAATTATGTATTGTAACTCATGAATGGTTAATGTTACGAACGACTTTTTATATTGTACAATTTTCTTTCGTTGATGTTTTTTAATGGTTTTATTTAATTTACTTATGCACAAAAAAAATCTTCATTCGTTGTTCACCATTTTGTTCAAGGTGGAGTTTTCTCTCCAAAATTCGATATTTAATATTCGAAATTGTTGTAAAAAGCTTTGTAGAAAGATATAATAATTGCATTAAATATTTGCGATAAAACTTTGTCCCATTGTGTATTTGATTTTGTTTTTGTTTTAACTTAGCCAAGTTTGAATTAGAAATGTACTACGTAACATCTAAGTGGGGTTAATGTATTTGGGTAGCTACTGAACACTTGTGGGTTAATTGTGTAACATTATTTAGATACAAACCTGGTTAATTTGGCAAATTTTTACTTAGATTCGTGTTACAGAATACTTTATCAAAAAATGTGACTATCGCAAATATTTGTCGCAACAAATTATTAATTAGGAAATACGGCACATATAATTAAAAATCAAATAGCGGCAAAAAATAAAGAAATACATAGAATAGATAGTGGGCAAATTTGAAATATATAATGAAAACATTGAAAAAAATTAGTTCAAATTTGGGTTGGATATAAATTTTAATTTAATTTAGGTACCTTAGGATTTTGAACGAGTTTTACAAAATCATTGAGTTGATGAAATTGTTTTTGTTTTCTGTTTTTTTTTTTTTTTTTTTTATATATTGTGGCGATTTGATAGATTTTGAGTTGCTTTTGTTTGTTTTGTTCTCATTTTTTTTGGTTTTGTAGTTATTTTTTGAATCGATTTAAAAATTCAAAAGTATGTATATATAATATGTAGTCGAATTTAGAAATGACTGGCGAGGACTTTGCGCTTTTATTGAGATAACAAACGAACGAGCGAACGAACGAATGAACGATTTTCTTTGGTTTAAGTCTGTTTATATACATTATACATTATACATTAGATATTTAGTTTTTATTATTAGTCTGTGTGTTGTCATATTGTACATGTTGATGTGCTGTGATTGGATGAGAAATGCAAAAACTGGCTCCCTGACCCGCCCCCTGCCCAGAGTTGCTTGACCCGATTAAGATGCTGACCCACTAATATCAAGGTGTGTACGTGTGATTCCCGCCCCTAGCTATACACAATGAGCTATCCCTAAGCAAACGCTAGGCCTTGCGCCAGCTGCTAACGGAGTGCTCCCTGCTCCCCGACTGTTGCTTAAAGCATTCGGGACTTTTGCTGCTGCGATTGCTCAGAATTTCGGGTGATTCTGTGACACGGGCCAGGTCGCGATTGATTGTCTTGGAGCTGAGGACGCGGGGACAGCGCACGGTCCAGGGACTGCGTCGCGGATCCTGTAAAGCTCGGAAGGCTTTCGAGGGCACAATCTCTTCACCGCCGCTGGCCTCGGTCCAGCTGCTGTAATAGTCGGCGTACTCCTTATCCTGCTTGGGCGTAGGTGCAGGCGTGCTGTCCAGCGAGCTATTGTCCATCGAATCCATTTCCTCTGCCAAGGCGCGTTTGGCCGCTGCCTGGAGCCGTTCCATCGGCAGTTTACGCAGATGCGTGCTGTCGCTCTTCAGCAGCAGACTCTGCACCAGCTCGTTAACCAGCTTATCGCTGACCACACGCTGCTTGCTGGGGGATGGCCCGACAATGGGCGAGGCGGGACTGTTCGGCGTGGAGGGATTGTCCGCATCGATGCTGGTGTTCTTGCGCAGGGGCAATGAGAGACGTTCGCGTCGTTGGGTCATCGTCTCGGCCTCGCTAAGTGCATTAGGATTTTGGCGACGTGTAATGGATACATTGTGCACAATCTTGCGTCTGCTGGGCTTTAGCTGGAACTCGTCCGCCTGCCCAGCCTCTGACGCTTCGGGCAGATCGTTCTCGTCCTGGAGCAGTTTGAAGAGTCTGGAATGTGTGGCGGCGCGCTGGTAGCTCGTCATCTTGCGCAGCTCCGGAAAACTTTCGGACTCGGTGTCCGTCTCTGACATCTGCCGATTCATATCCGTCACGCCTGAGTCATCCTCTTCGATTTCGGACTCGGACCGCTGTGTGCTGCTATTGCGGGATAGCTGTCCCTTGCCACGGCCGCTGTCCACAGACAGCGAATGAATAGTCATAGCCTTGTTTGGAGGGGTTGGCCCAGTTGTTGTTGGTGGACTCGTCTCGAATACATTGATGCGCTCGCGCACCGATATTTTGGGTGCTTCTGACACACCGAGATCTGGTAGACCGTTGGCTAGGAGTTTTCTTTGCTGTTCCGGTTCTGGCTCCACATAAACTTCTGGAAGCTGGTTGGTCGGTGTGGTCGCTTCTCGATCCTCATCTTCTGCACTGACCGTTTGCAATCCATGTTGTTCCACAACGATGCCATCTTCACCCACAATTTCATATGCACCTGGTGAGCCCAGCTCCAAATCTGTTGGCTCCGCTGATTCCAGAATGACGCTGCTTCGATTGGGTTGCACTTTTTGCTGTACCTTGTGCTCATCGATGGAGGTATTGAAGAAAGCCATGGCCTGGCGATAGTTATGACGTTTCTGCTCGGCTTCCTCCAACTGGTCATTCTTGCCACGCTCCTGTTCTATATCAGCCCAAAAGTCAGGCTCATCGCCGCTCTCCAGGTCCATGTTAGTGTGTGTGCTAGGCGTCCAGGTGTGCACAGTTGCTGGCTCATGCATGGAGGCCAGCGACATAGTCTCAACTGCGTCGAGATTGGGCTCCGGCGTCTGTGGAGCTGATTGCTCCAGTTTGTGGGACTTCTCGTCTTCTTCATGTTCAATCTCTTCATATTGCGCAGCTAGCATTTGCTCCTGTTCTAAAAGTGGATCAACAATCTCGGGCTCCTCTCCCCGAGCTCCCTCCAAAGTGGCCCACAAATCGATTTCCACAGCTGGCTCGTCGGGCAGCTTGGCACGAAATGGCTTGGTCTCCACGGGCTTGTAGGGCGTTTCTTCCACCGAATTTTGGCGCTCTTTGCGAGCCCAAAAAGTGGCGGATTTGTGGAAAGTTACATCGTCATCATCCGGATTGCGATTCGATTCGATTTCTGTCCAAAAATCAATTTCTTCATCGGTGTCAACCTCACGGGGCTCCTCTGGATATTTGGTGGGATCGAATTTGAAGTCGTTTTCCTTGTTGTCATAGCTACCTTGAGAAGACTTTATGTCGGCCCAGAAATCGATGTCCTCTTCCTCGGCAATTGGCTCTGTTATATTCACATTCGGGTTTTCATCACGAGTGTCCGCTGACTGATCTGACCAAAACTCCAACTCGGGCTGCTTTTCAGAGTTCTCGGACTTGGCTTTCTCTACTGACGCCCAAAAGTCTTCCTCGTCTTCATTCGTATCCTCAGCTCCTGGATTTTCTTCTACCACGAAATGTACCTCAGCACATTGCGATTGGGGCATGTATTTTACATTGGCTTTTAGGGTCGTCGTCCAATGCTCCACTTCGTCCACCGTTTCCTTTTGTAGTGGGATATAGGTAACAGTTTTCTGTTTTTTTGCGCGTTGACTTTTCTCTTTGCTGTTTTCAACGATTTCCCAGAAGTCAATTTCTTCGTCAGATTGTTCTGGTTCATGGGGAGGTTCGGGTTCCTTGGCTGCCGTTGCAAATGTGGACCAAAAGCTATTCTTGGCTGCCTCTAAAGACTCCTGAGTCTTGGATATGTCACACGATTTTGGTCTTGGTTTTTTGGCCTCTTCCTCGTTTTGCTTAACTCGCAGCTTCACAGTTTCATTTGGCGCAGGCTCTTTTGCCTGTTCTTCTGGCTTGGCCTCTGTCGTTTTCCAATAACTCTTGGACTGCTCCATCATTTTCTGTGCTTGCATTTTGGTGGCCAAAAGCGTGGCAAAGAAATCAAATTCCTCTTTGGGTGCTTCCGAGGTAACCTCAACATCTTTTGTCGGCATCAACATCGCAATATTATTTGTTAGCTCGCCGTTTTGGGTGTCCGCCAAGAACTTGTTGCGCTTGCCCAGCGAGAAGGAGGTGGATACATCTTCAGTGCTAGCCTTAATGGCACTTGGTAGCAACGCGGACTTTTCTACGGAATTGGAACGGGAGGAGTTTGACAAACTGATGGTAACGCTAACCTCACAATCGTTATCCTCCTCATTATCACTCTCAATCTTGGCTACGCTGAATGAATTCCGTTTGCTGTCCAAGCTTATACTCTGGCGTCTTTCCTCGATCTGTGTGCTGCTGCCCACCTCCACGGTGGCTATGTTCTCGTCATTTGAGCTGCGACTAAAGCTGAAGCGCAATGGCAAACGCACAGTCACCGAATTAGACTCGTCGTCATCGTCATCGTCATCGCGATCATTGTCCTCTATTTGCTGTTCCAGGTCGTCTTCTTCTACTTGGCGAGCCCCTATGGTTGCGTTACTGGCACTGGATCCATTGTGGTTAATAATCGTTTTGGCGTAGTTGCTGCTGCGTTCCAGCTCGCTTTCCTCCTCATAAATGGTGCTTAGATCCTCCTCGACAACATAGTCATCGTCCAGTTCCTCGATCAGGCACTCCTGCTCTTCCTCATCAAGCATTTCATCAGCTGTCGTCCCATCATCGTCCTCACTCTCGGACTGAAGATGTTCCGCTGGCATTTCACCCAAGCCCTTATAGATCTGCACATTGGTCACGGACTTGATGGCCTGCAGCGGAGATGGGGAGTTGTGACCTGCATGCTTGGGAGTATCTGTGTCCTCTTCATCCTCGTCGCTGCTATCGTCAGATTCACTATCATCGTTATCGTCTAGCATGGCAGTGATCAGCACTGGCGAGGCATTCTCACTAGGTGAGCGTGCTCCCAGCTCCTTCAGATGCTCTCCAGCATAGCTCTTTTGGAGCTGATTGGATAAATTGTCTTGGGTATTGCCCCCGGCAATTTTGTTAATGTTGGCCAGACGCTGGCTGAGCATATCGATTACCTCCTCCTTGTTGCTGCAGATATTGCGCGTCTTCGACCGACTAACCAATTCCTCAATTTCAACAGAGTGCGCTCGCTTGGGTGGCTCACGTGGCTCCACCTTGATATGGTGCTGCATTATGACCTTCGAGGGCATATCGTCGGTGCTTGGCGTTATTATAATATCGGGCAATACACTGCTGGCGCGACTTTCGGCCGAGCTTTGGCTAAGGCTTGGTGCTACCGGATATGGATAAGGACCATAGCTTGGCACGAACTGGGGGTGGTAGCCATGCTGCAGAGTTTCATTGGGCGTGGCTGGCTGCCCATAAGCTGGTGGGGGAGGCAGATAATAGGGGTAGTAATATGGATAGGGTGCTTGCTTGCCATCCACCGAAAGAGGCATGGGTGGTGGGTAGGGATAGGGATAGGGCCAATTTAGGACTTGAGGCGGTTCGCCACTATTCTGCCCAGGAGCGGGATGGTTTGGTGGCGGCATGTACCAGGGAAAGGGGTAACCATAAGCATAGGGATAGTGCGGTGGCACCGATTGCGAGCGCTCTGGCTGCACCTGTGGAGCACAAGAGCTGTCTGAACTAAGAGAAGATGAGGATGAGTATATGCCGTGAGAAGCGTTTGTATTCGTGTCTGTAATGGGCGGTGGAGTGGGCGTGGCTGATGCATAACTATGACGTTTATTGATTTTACTGTTAATTTCTCGGTTATGGTTACTCTTTCTGATATTATCATTATTCTCATTATTATGATTAATATTATTGTGATTATTATTATTATTATTATTATTTTTGGCTTCGTTCAATTCAATATTTTCCAAATCCGAGTCCAGCTCGGTGTGAATTTTATGTTCTGAGGTCGGTTTGGTGCACGGTTATCAAAAATAAATAAAAAGAAAGAAGAAAAGATATAGACACGGTGAGAGTGCATATTATGATCAATACACCAACAATTTGGACTGTGAATGTTATACAGATTAAACGATCGAGCATATCTACTAAGTATATACAAAGTGAAATATACGGATATGTGTCGCTGTAAGGGTATGATGACATTACATATATGAGATATATCTGTTTGTGGATACGAACTTATGTGTATTTGTATATCAAGTGTACAAAACCTTTAAGCTGATCCAAACTGGAATTCAACATGCTTTAAGCTTAAATGCAAAACATATACAAATCAAAATGAAATCCAAGTCAGATGAAGTCTCTCAACAGACAATACAATCACGAACTCTGTGAAATTCAACATAATGCATGATGTACGTATAAAAATAAAATCAAAATAAATATAAACAAGTGTAGTAAATGTGAGTGTGAATAATTGTCGGATTGTTAGTGGATGGCTAATGGGATATATACAATGAGCTTCTGTTGATCTTTTGTGTGGGTGTGTGACAAATAAAAGAAATAAAACCCAATTTCTTGCAGTGTATTCATATTTCTTAGACAAAGTGCACTTACCGGCATTCTCTGGTGTTGTCATTGCCTGTAAAATTTTAAATGATCGACTCGGTATTGCGCTGCCCGTGTACTTCTTCGGTTCCGGCGCCTGCTGTTCACTGGGTGGCACGTATTGTTGTTGTTGTTGTTGGGCTGAATCTGTTAAAAGCAAGGGCTTAAGGTACGTAATCCTAAACAATATTATTGGGTTTACCGTATGGAGAACGCTGAGATGTAAAGCGGTTCTGAGCAGACGCGCCGTTACCTGCAAGGAGAAGCGATTTCTTAGAGATTTAGTCTTAAGTTTATGGGGCTTTATCTTCTAAGTACTTAAAACCAATTTATTTTGCTTAGTAGTGCTGGAAATTTTGAGCCGAATACTAAGGCGTTACCATATTCATGGTGGACATACACAAGAAGCGCATTAGTTATTTTTTTCGTTTGTTCCAAATGGTTTGTTGTGGCTTGAAGCGTTGTGTTAGTACCAGAACCCGGAATAAGAGACCAAAACTAAGGGGACCGAATCGAAACCTTGCGACACTCTCCGGCTAATGAAACCTTACCAATCCAGTTTGCTACAGAGAGAAGGGGAGGAAGGGCCACCATTGAGAGCTCACCTTGCGGGCACCAGGCTGGCGGCGTGCCCGACTGTTGATCCTGCGCGATTTGCAGCCGCCGCATTTGCTCAATGGTCGGACTATTCCGCGCCTGCTGAGCGCTCATCTGGCGAGCGAACTGTGGGCGCTGCAGCTGCGGCAGCTCCACCTCCAAATGAGGCTGCTGCGGCAGGTGGGGCGACTCTTGCCTGGGATCGCTGCTGACATCGTCCACTGTGTCGGTTATCTTTTGCAATATTCTAAACGATTTCGATTGTATGGGCGGTGAGCGTGGATCGCTGCAAGTAGATATATAGGCGTATGTTAGGTTAGGTTGTTGGTTAGCATGCACTCGATATTATGTCGGAAATTATCAAATTGCAATTTTGCTTGTAAAGGAAACGTGTGCTGGGGTTAACTAGTATTTGTGAGTGGTTTACTTTTTCGCTGACACCGAAATTTTGCCAAGCATATGAGAGTTTGTATTGCAATTTGTGCCCAGGTATTGAATAATGAGCTCATGACAAGGGAATGCCTTGCAAATTACAAATGGACTGAATTATGCATGTGAAATACACACTCAACATTCAAAAACAGAATAAACAGGACCTGGAGCAGAGTTACGAGCTCACTTTCAAATTTGCGACTGCTCCAAGTCCCACTTTACAACACTGAGAGATACAGTTTATAATCGGGCTGCGACGGCGACGGCGACGGCGACTGCGACTGCGACTGTACTACCTGAGTCGATTCTTTCTGTAGCGTATCTCAGCCTCGAGCGGACATTGATGCACATACAAATTGTAATTGCCACTAAAAAACGTAAGTCGTTAGGTTTTGTAAAGAAGCACAAAATTTATACGCATTAGTGCTGGGTAGTGTTGCAAACTAGTTGTTTAATTGTTTAGTGTTGGTAAAGCACAAAAAGTATTGTAATATAGCATTTGTTTCAAATACTCAACTGTACTTACTTTTGTAGCACGACTGGTGATTGGGAGACTGGACCTCCGCGTCCCCCTTCAATCGCAATGGGTATAATGCGAGTCGAATTATTGCTGATGTTATTAGAACTAACAAATTGCTGCTGCTGTTGTTGCTGATGCAGATGATGCTGGGTGGGTGACACGACGCGTTGCACCTGCGCAGACGGTCCTGAAGCTGGATAATTGTTGTAACCTTGATCGACAAATTGATTAGCTGAGCGTATTATGTGGCCAGCAGGCGCTTTCGTAGGAAAGAAAGAGTATACATAGACACATATTGATATCGAGATGGAAAGTTACACAGTGGACAAACGGGAACGGGAACAGGAACAGTTGTGGGATAGTGGAGAGTGTATGGGTTCGCATTCGGGGTATATGGATAAACTATATATAGGGGCTTGATTAGTGACAAACATTAAGGTTTGGGAAGGCGCCATATAGAGTCTTAAACATAAACACAGAAACACGCACAAACAAAAACCAAGCCAGCAAAAGTTAAATAACAAAACTTACCACCGAAGTTGGGCTGCGCAGCGGCATAAGTTGGGGTTTGCTCCAGTGTAATGGGAATTATGCGCTCCTGCAAATGGTTAAATTAGCAAGCGTACACTAATTGAATACCCTGTAATTCTTAAATATACCTTGGGACCACTCTGGTTTACATTGTTGCTGTTGATCTGCAAGCGTAGTCCACTCTGCTGGGCTGTTGAGCCAAAGTTTTGCTGAGCAGCCGGGCCGGGCGAAGAAGCTGTTCCGTGCCCATTACTCTGCACCAGCTGAGGCTGATAGAACGTTGCAGGCTGTGCCTGCGTTGCTGTCGACGGCGCTGTCGACTGTCGTAGAGTGGAGGGCACCACATTGCCATTCTCCTCGGGGCGTGCCCAGGGCGCCTGCTCCTTCGCCGCGGGCTGTGAGCTCAACCAGCGCAGTGGCTGGCCGCCAACCTGTTGCTGTGCCTGCTGCTGCTGCTGTGGCACTTGCCGCATGGGCGAGTCACGAGCTCCCGACAGCTGCTGCTGTTGCTGCAGCAAGAGGCGCTGTGCTTGCGGCTCCGTGGGCTGCGCTAGTGGAGCTATGTAAAGCGAGCCAACGTTGGTCTGCGTAAAAAAAGGGGATATTTAAATTTTTAATATTTTAAAATAAAATGCGCGCATGTGCAAAAGTGTGTAGCTCTGTTTTGAACTATTGCGTTTAGCAGCATGCAGTTGGTTAACTACATTTTGAGAGAAGAAATATATAGTTTTTGGCGAACCACCGAAATAAAATGCATTGACAATGAACTTTTAGCTTCCTCAGTGACAGCTTGGCAATTCTAAATGCTTTTAGAGAGTCTCTATTCTGATAGATTGACCAGCCGCTTTTAATTGTTAAAATTTAATAGAATATTAAAAATAATATAAATATTATTTATAAATCTTTTTTAAAATGCTTACAACTTTCATCAATTAAAAGAAAAGAGACTAGATATTCAGAGTAAAAAATAAGAATATATAAAAGAGAAGCGACCAACTTATTTAGGCAATGAGGCCTCATTAAATCCTTCGACTAGTGTACGGCCTAAAAACACTTCAAAACCTTTTCGTCTTAATAAGCTAGCAATATTATTAAAACGCTATACAATTTGTTAAATACTCTTTAATTTGAGGCCCAGTTGCTGAGAGCAGTACATATACCCCATGCCGGAATATTCGCAACCAATTGCCAATTGCCTCAAGTTCAAAATTCGTGTTTGGCCTTTGGTAATATCTAATTTTAGCGGCTGCAAGCACGGAATGCGTTCAATGTTCAATTAGCTGTGTTGTGAATCTTTTGTTATAGCTCACCAAAATGATTTAAAAATAAAACCTAATGCTTCCGCGAATACTCTAGAGTGAATAACAGATTTGAAATGCACAAAATCTGTGGCCGTCAACCATAATTTGGCATTAATTTTTACTTGTACATTTATTACAGTTTGATCTTGAAGGAAACGTCTTCAACCCCAGTTTATATATTTATGTTTGTCTGTTTTTTTTCCATGCAACACTAGACTCACAGTTTAAAAGCCATCTGGCATTAGTCTGTCATATATCTGGCACATATAATACTTCTTTCCTTTCAAAATATCTTGAACTTGCTTGCCATTTTTCACCTACTCTTGACATATTTTAACACAATTTGAATCTAAATCTTACTATATCACAGAATTCCTGTTATAGAAATCGATAGGGCATTTAGACTTCGGTATGCCAAATGCATCCGCTTTTTCTTGTTTTATTTTACTACAGATGTGAATTTGCAGTTAAAAATTTGAAACTGAATTCGCATTTAAAATTATGAAACTGCATTTTTTGTTAATGCTGTAAAAATATTACTCATACGCATCGAGTTTGCCGAGAAATGAATTGGCCAACATGCTAATATGTGAGTAAGAAGCTTAAAGGTCGAAATATCTGGTAAGTAGTTACCGGCTTAGCTCCTTGATATGGCGATTGCTGAGTGCCAAAGTTTTGTTGCTGTTGCTCCGTTCGGGCGGGGCTGAAGACATCGCGAGATCGTTGCTGTTGCTGCTGTTGTTGTTGTTGTTGCTGTTGCTGTTGCACATTGTTGTAAATGGGCTGCGAATGCGTTGGCTGCTGCTGCTGTGGTTGCTGTTGTTGTTGTGCAGCGGGCTGGGGGCGTTGTGTACGCCAGGGAACAGTTTGCTGTTGTTGTTGCTGCTGCTGAGCCAGTGGAGAAATAGCTGGCGATGGACGTGACTGCTGTTGTTGCACCAGCGGATAGATTGCCGTGGCTGGACGCGACTGTTGCTGCTGTTGTGGTTGCTGTTGTTGCTGTTGCTGCTGTGCAAAGCGGAAGGGACTCTCTGTGGCGCGCTGCTGCTGCTGTTGCAACTCGAAAGGCGAGCGCGGACTGTCCGTTTGACGCGTATAGACATTAACAGCCGGTGACTGTGGCATGGCCACACTGCGAAACTCCTGACGCGGCTGTTGCTGTTGCTGTTGTTGTTGTTGTTGTGGGGGTGTTGCCGGTGGCGTTGGCTGTTGCAGCTGTTGCTGCAGCGGCGGTGTTTTGGGTGAGGGCGATTGTGGCTGCTGCTGACTTGATGGTGTGTATGGGCTGTAGCTGTTGTTGCCGTTACTGTTGTTGTAGCTGTTGCCAGTTGGTTTGTACCCTGCAGAGACGAACAAGCTGGGATTAGTGGATTGTAAAGGATTGAGGAATTGTGAATCTGTTTTAGTGCCGTTAGTGGGGGGAATGCCAATAGATAATGCCGCTTGATGTCTGGGATTAGTCAGATGTCGTTTTAAAGCACCAGAAACCGCTTAGTAACTAGCCGGCGAAGAGCATGAGGCGAGCCGAGGGCCAAGAACTGTACCAAGAGAACTTTGGCCCACTGACAGTGTAAATATTAGAGTGCCCAAAACCAAACCAAAAGCCCGCGAAATGATGCGATATCCAAAGTCTCTCTCTCTCTCTCTCTCTCTCTCTCTCACTGCTCACCATCAACGGCATCTTGGCTAATGTTGTTGCTGTTGCTGTTGTTGTTGCTGTTGCTGTAGTCGTCATTTCCGTTCTGGTTTGACTCGGGCAGGGGGCTCTTGGAGCGCTCCTTGCAATATTCATCTTTCCAGAATGTGTTCTTCTCCACCGGCGGCGGCACCTTGCGCAGCGCCGCCATCGGGTTGGGCGGTATTTTGATCTCCGGCCGGAATCCTAGCGGCGGCGGCTCGAAACGTTGCGGAGTTGGGGACTTGCGCGCCGCAGCCGGCGAACCGGGCGCACTGCCTCGACCCGCTGGTGGTGCTAATGTACTTTGTTGTGGGGGTGGCGGTGGGGGTGCTGCTGCTGCAACTTGGTTACCGTTCTTACCCGTCTGTGACTGCGGCTGCGGTGGCGGTGGCGGCGGCAGCACCTGAAACGGCATGCCCATGGCTGCGGCACCCATAGAACTGGCGGCGCTGCCACCAGAGCCCGGCGACTGTGGTGAGGGTCTGTTTTGTTGGGCGGCACCGGTGGCGGCGCCCTCGGCTTGCGCATTGCGCGCCAGCCGCTTGGCCATGCGCTCCGAACGGATTTGCGAGAGATCTATGCCGCCGGGCGTATAGGTGAAGGGCTTCTTGTCTTTTGTCATCATCGCGTTTTGCACACAAGCGGGTGCCTCAAAGCCACCGCCTCCAGCGGCGCCCCCGCCTCGTTGTCCATAGCTGTCGGACAATAAATAGAAGAGCGGGAAACATTCATTAGCATAAGCATATTGTGATTGTTTTTGGTCATTAAACGGTTTCATTTTCATGTTAATTTTGTTGTTCTCGAGTATCTTGTTTGAATTTGTTTTTTCTGTACGCCTCTTCGTTCTCACTTAACCTGCTATTTATGATAATTTTTAGCATAATCTTTTGTTATTAACTGTTTCATTTTGACGCTCCATGCCAAGAGCCCTCATTTGTCTGACCACACTTCAAGATCTTTTCCCCCCTCCGCTGCATGACTAATGACTCGCTCATCGACAGTTCAATGAGCCAATTTTTTCATGGCAGTTTTTTTTTATTAATTTTTTTCTTTGCGGGGAAAGTGTACTGAAGAGCTGCCATTGGCGCCTATACCCCCTTATTAGTTGAAGTGCAATGCCAAGGGCCATAACGGTCAGACGTTGAAAGTAAGAGCTTGAATGATGAATGGAACTCAAGTGAAAAAGAAATAGATATTTGTTTACGATTTTAAATGCCATAAACCAATTTTGTTTTAACTCGAATACGCTTTCGAATTAATGAAATCCGCTTTTGACCATTTTTTAATTATTTGAACTTTTTATACAAATACAATCACATTCGTTTCATTACAGCTATATTAAATAAATTGCTAAAATAAATGATCTTAATCAGAACCAACCAACGACTAATAAATATATTTAGTTGAATTGGCTATGTATATATATAATTATACTATATATTTGTATATATTTATATTCCATTTATACACTACAGATGTAGGAAATGCGCATTGCATTCACAACATTTGAGATGTGGCAGTTTTCTAGGCTTGTCAGGCCTTAATAATAATCATAACTGCGCCCCTTAAATGGTCAGCGAATATTAACAAACAAATTAAATGTAAAAAAAAAAATAAACAGTTAACAGTTTAGTCAAGCTGAATTTCCTCACTTGCCATAAAAGTGAGATATGTCTCTAGCCTGGCCAGTGTCAATGGACGTGAACAGTGAATCGTGAGAGGGAAAAACAAACCAACTGAACGACCTTACAATTTTGGATCTGCCTGGAAAATGATGGAGCGTTAAACTTTAGCTAATAACTAAACAAGCCTAGTCAATGGCAAGATCAAGTCTCCCACCTGCTGCGCATAGCTGGCCATAAACTCGAACTGTTTAATATGGTTAGGTAGCATATCACAGATGACATAGCTGCAATATACTCTCTATACGTTGCTTATGGGTTCAATTAGTGCCGCTTTTGTCAGAGACCGCAGGCGGTTACGTCACGAATCGACTTGGGCTTGGATTTGCATCTGACATTGATGCACTCGCTCCAATTTGCATGTAAAGCGAATTGTGGGATTGCCGCACATCAGAGTTGTGGGTGCTCACGTTTTGGCTTTTGCAATTCTGTCTGCGGTTTGCCTTCGCATTTGCGGTTGGCTGGCTCAACGGGCCAATGGAAAAGTGCTGGCAACACTTTTGCTAAGACTTTTCCACTGCAAACACTTGGCAGCCGTTGGACAACGCATCACCTGTTCCTGTTCGCCTGACCCACTTAGCCAAGTTGTTAAAAGCGAATCATTCAACACGCACCGTTCATACGTTCATTCTATGCGTATGTTTGTTTATGTATCTGCACATAAAAACTAATGAAGCTGACAGGCGACAGGCTAACTGACCAACATGCCTGACAACTTTTCAGAACCCCAATACGAGGCGGAGAGAGATGCGGCTGCCGGCCAAGAGAGCAGCTGCCCATCACTTTCTTTTGGCATAACTGGCTGGCCATATGTTGCTTTCTGGTCCTATGTTAAAACTACAACCGACTGCAGCATCTTTAGCACTCAGTTTTAATTAACAAGCCGTAGACGTTGAGTGCAACTAAATTAAGTAAATTATGCGAAGAGAAGCCGACATCAAATGAATAAATCAGTGAAATTTAAGATTTACTGTAAATCTAGCTACATTTAAAAATACTTGCTGACTTTGTCAAATACAAATTTAATTAATATAAAAATCGCTAAACAGAAAATCATAAAATACTTGTATTAACTTAGCGTGCTATTCATTTAAAAAATTAAAAAGTATTAAAGTATTGCAAGTAAATAACTTTAGCTCTCCTTCCCGAGAGCTGACGTCATTTTTATTAGTGTTTTTTTTTTTTTTTTTTGGCGCACACGTGTTTAAAACAAATCGAGTCAAGACAATTTTTGAAAGAACATAAAAACTTGGATTTGTTTCAAAATTAAGAACAAAGATCGGACGACAGTGCCGTCTGGTGACGTCAATTTTGTAGGAATCTGGCATCGGTTCCCTCAACCAAAGTCTACGCTAGTTCAGGGAAGCATCAGCTGATTTTGACAGCTTTCGGCAATTAAAGTGTCAACTTGGCAACAGGCGGAGAAAGAGCCAGTGCAAAGTGCAAAGTCAGCCAGGAACTAAACAACTAATTATTTGACACAATCTACTTAGCATTTCCTTATGAATCACATGGCTATTGGCGACATTTGCAGTTTGCACTTGCAGCTAAAAATAATTGATTTTATATATGTACATAGCCGAGGCATAGATGAGAAATATGCCAAAAATAATTCCGAAGAGAATTTGGCTTGCATGCAGCCATTAGCAGCTGGCATCCGTTGGGTGAAAACAGCAGAAAACCAAATGCGAACACGTAAATAAAAAGGAAAAAAAAAATATATATAGAAAAACATCTGTAAAATTTACATTTTCACTCTGTGCTCGCATGCAAATGAGCGTAGAAAAATGCACAATGCCCAGGCACACGATACGCTGGCTCGCAAATAAACTGGATCTGTGGGATCTAGCTGTGGCCAGTTTGTGCATATTTCAAGATCAAGGGCAGCCAGCACACATAACTTGAAAGCTGCCACATGCAACATGACATAATGATAGTCATTGTCCGCCCGTTCTGACCAGCCTCTGCGGGCAAGTCTATAAATAGAGTTAGAGCGCAACAGGGTGCTTCTCATATGTGAGTTGTGAGTTGCACATTCCACAGAGCTAATCTGGCGTCAGCAACCTTATATATGTTTATATTTACATAGAAATTGTTTCACTTTTTGCGCAACAAAAAATCCTTATCGCGCATTCCTGTCATAAATTGTTGCTTAGATATATATGTATTCCACACAAGCAGCCCCAGCTGATAGCACCGCCCACTTACGTATCCACAGAGCTTTTGTCATGGCCATTCGCATTGGCATGTGGCAGCGGCAGCTCTAGTTGAAAACCGCGATCCTCTCGTACCATATAAGCGGGCAGCGTCTCGATGATGGCATTGGCCTTATCATTGTACGAGCCCAGAAGCTCCCGATACTTGGAATAGACGACGCGCTTCAGCTGCGGATTCTTCATGCCGGCAGCTGGACTCGGAGACGTTGTAGCCGTTAGCGTGGAGGTGGCCATTGTCTTGATTTTTATTTATAAATTATTATTATTATTATTATTATTGTCGATACACAGACACTCGCACTGTCTCCAGACACTTTGCATAGCCAACTGGCTCTGTCAGAATGAATCACACACAAATGTCAAATCAGCGCAAGCCTTGCCAGGAAACAATAATCCATTTAATAAGATAGCTTCTATGGGTTGCACAGTCAAAAGTTGCAAAACATTTAATTAATCTATTTTTGATATATTTATGAATGTGTAACTCGGTTCACTTGTCTGCAGATAAGCTTTATCGCACACCCACAAATAGTGCATTGTTTGATTGTGCAACCCATTTGCATGCCCAATCCCCGTGCAATTATTGACTTTGTCGAACAAAGGCGCAGAAGTCAAACAACAACTGCAAAAAGACCTATGCAATGGCAAAGGAACTGACTCAGCCGATCGACGGATCGACCGATTGACTGTCTGCGATCTAAGCAATAGCAAGACCTTTCGGGCTGGTCAGTCAATCGCCTGGCCGGGCAAACTGATGACTCACAATCATAACAACAGCATCATTGTGAGCATCTTTATCGCCGAAGTGTGCCGGGCGGCTGTGCTGAATGTGTGTGTGAAGCTGTTCTGTATCTGCAAGATACTATACGTATGCTCATTTTCGCTCACGCATGTTTATTATTTTTAGTCATGAGCTAAAGTCAGCCGAAATAAATAAATAAAATGTTTGCGACATTTGCTTGGCACTGATTGGACAGCCGTGAGATACAACAGTTAAAAAGAGCTTACAGCTAATTAACACTCAAATGCTTGGAGCACACAACAATAACAACAACAACATTCAATAGTTTTCAATGCACGCGCGGCGCAAATGTATCTTAAAGTTGCGATCGTATGTATCTGAATATCGAAAGCGCACTGTTCGTCTGCACACAGTAAAGTCTCGAAACACTTTGAAGCCGAGTTCGTTCGACTCGCAACTTCGACGCTAACATCAGCGTCAGCATCAGCATCAGCGTCGGCGTCGACGTCGACGTTAGCAACTTGTTGCAGATACATTTGCGGTAGACGCTGTTGTAAAACTGCTGCAAGCTGCCGCAAAAGGAAAACCGAGTGCATGACAAACGTTCGGCAAGCACGCGGCGGCTGCAGTGGCCGCGGCGGCTGTAGCTACAAGATACAAGATACACGGCCTGCCTGCCTGCCTGCCAGGCTGTGGAGCAATTTATATGTCTGTCAATTCACTGGCAAGTTGTTGGACGGCCGCCGCGACTGGCATTTCAAACGCGGCGACAAATTTAAGGCTAAACGCCAAACGCTTTCGACTTTTAGCAAGTATCTTGTGCTTTGTATCTTGTATCTGGCATCTTGTATCTGCGTCTGTTATCGTGTGGCTAATTGTTTACGTTTGGTAGTCATGTCGCCTGCTTATTACTTTTGTAGCTTTTCATAATTAAAACGACGTTTATCTGTGCCCCAACTTGTGTTCTTCACTTTTCGTTATCTTCGCATTCGTGGAAGTTTCGGGGCGTGTTTTTGCCAAAAATGTTTCTCTGCTTAGAGACCTAATTGAGCGCACAAGCTGCAGAAATATGACATGCCGCCGGCCTTGAGATACAAATGTATCTATTATTTGTTATCAGTTTGCCCTTTACCAAAAAACACGGTTACTGCTTAAAAAGTCCCGTGGAAAGATAAACACGACCTCAACAGATGCAACCATTGTACTAGGAAATTAGATTTGCGTGTAACACTAGACAACAAGTTTTTAAAACCAATAATTAGATAGTATTAGGCAAAACAAATCGACTTAAAAACAACTGTGACTTCTTGATTCAATAGTCGTATACTCGATATATCCATGCTTATTGCTTACATATCTAAATTGTCAGCCGTTATTTTACCATATTCTCTGGTGCATAATTATATTCTTAAAATGTCGCTAATAAATGTATAAATGAAAATTTAAAAAATAAGTTTATTTAATACTTTTAATTGAATAATATTCTAGGATTCAGGCGTATCGTTAGAGACCAATAATCGATTTGAGGCACGCTTTTTGTATTAGGGATGCATAAGATAAATGGAAGGGTCCTTCGATTTAACTGTCAGATTTCGGGTTTTGCTTTTTTCTGTCAATAACCTAAAATTTGAGCATCTTAAGCGTTTTACAAGTTGTATATCAAATTTAAAAGCCTTTTACAATTATGGTAAGTGGACTTTTCAGATCACAAGTAGACTCAGTCATCGAGCGATTACTTTAACTAAGAATGCTTTTGCGCACTTGGATCTCTTCGATGGTATTCCCGCGAAATGTCCTGTTAAGGGCTGCCATTCGCAACTGACGCCACAGGAGCTGCTGGCGCATTTGTTAATGCGCCATCGCCCCGAAGACTCGATGCTGGAGATCGGCGCCGAATGGCACACTGTCTATGACCTGGACTTGGCCAAGCTGACGCCGGGCTGCAATCATGTTGTGGGTGTAATTGCGTACGCCGGCTCGAACAATGCAAGCCGCAGTCGTCCCATCGGGCCGGAGCTGCAGCTTGTACATCATTTGCCCATTATACTTATGCTGTATGTCAGCCCGCCAGCTCCGAACCTGGAGCAGATGTACGTACTCTATCTGATAAGTCCGGTTGCATCACGTAAAGTGAGCGCCCATGTCAGTCTGCTGCATGGCCCGGAGGGACGCGAGGTACGTGGCCTGCGCTGCTTGCGCAACTTTTTGGATGCCCCGCTCCAGGACAGCGAGGAGCTGCTCCACAGCAACATGGACTATTTGATCTACACGGCAACAGACGTCTGGGAGCATTGCACGACTGGCGATCGTTGCAAGCTCCAGTTTAAGGTGGTCCTGCACGGCGAGCCGGACTTGTTTGAAGTGGAGGATGATCAGCAGGAGGAGACACTGTGGCAGGCCACCCAATAATGACTCACGGGTCTGACACCAAACAGCTGGCCCACTACCAAAAACTATTGATCCATTGACGCACTTTTGCGGTCTGAGTGCCTGTCAATAATCTGTTGTTGTTATTGAATGAAACGCTGCTCAGCTGTCAGAAAATGGTTTCAACTTATTATTCATTCAATAATTTCTTGGCGCGCCAAAAAGTGGGTCATACGCATAGCCAGATACCAGATAGATACCAAACACTTACATGTATGTATATACCCATGCATATCACTTGGACTTGGACCAGCTTGCCGATCAATCAACAAGGGCTACATAATTGAAGGGCCATTGATATTGACTGCATTGTGGCAAACCGAAAAAGGGCAGGGGAAAATGTTTTTAATTAGGTGTAAAATGTTTTTTCTCGCTTTCAAAACGATCTTTAAGAATTTTTTTAAGTTTTTTTTGTAGACTTATTTTTCTGTCTAAGTTTTCAATGATTTTATTGCCTGTTAAATTTATAATGTTGTTTAATGAGATTTCTGCTAATTTGTAACCCAGGCTATTTTCGTTAATTAAACTTAGCTATTGAAATCAAATTTTCAAATGTTGAAACATCATTTTTTGCATTTGGTTCATTCTAAGGAGTTTCCTGCGGATACAAAAAATGATCAGAAATGAAATGAATTAGGTACAGACGAGAAAAATCGTCTAGAAAATATGTACATGTATTGAACAAATTAATCTTCTTAAAAGAAGTTTTATAATTTTATAAAAAAATGTTTATATATCAAACAAGTTGAAACATAATATATAAAGTGACCAAACTTATATATATATATATACCCTGTGGGAATGGACATGGATTTTACTCCTTTCACAAACAAATATTACAAATTTCAATAAGATGGTTTCGAATAACTATATATAACTTATAGAAAAATAAATATATATACATACATAGCCATAATTATAATTATATGCCAACTAATTAATTGGCTAAAAAGAAAATTCACAAAAAATAACAACAAAAATTCAAATTTATGCGCCATTTGCGAAAATACAGCGAAAAAAAATTAAAAGTGAAAAACTGCGATAAACAGTGGGCAATAAAAAACTGTTTTCGACGACACCCCCGCACGCAGTAAAAAAAAAAAAAAAGAAAACTAAAAAAAAAAAAATAAACACGAGCAAATCGTTTAATATGATTTCAGGCCCTATTCTCAGCGAGCTTATTAGTGTGCGACCTTGAAATTAAATATTCAAAGAAAACTCAACTAACAAAAATAAAAAATTAAACGACAATCAACAATTGAATTCGCGTTGCGCAGAGGCCATACATCATTGAATGGCGCTTTCTACGGCTGCCTCTGTGGCATGCAACTGCAACCCGTTTTTTTTTGTCATTTGTCATTGAGCCGGGCTGGACTGCATTGATTGCATGACATGAGCACATCAGACAGCCTGGTTGCCGCTTGCCCGGCTGGAATCATAATTATTTATATTAATCTGTCGGGTCACCAGCGGCGCGACTTAAGTGAAAGTAGACCCAAGTCCAAGTTAAAGCTGCAGTTGCAAGTCCGAGACGAAATGGCAGCCAGCGCCTGTTGCACAATATAATGCGGTTATATTTCTTCTTCAGTAGAGATACGAATAAAACTATTTTTATTTATTTTTTTCCAAATAAATTTTCCGACGCCGGCCACATGTGGCCCGTACGAAAAAGGCAGACAGTCAACCAGCTAGTTGGCCACGCCTGCAGTTTTTTATTTATTTTTTTGTATTTGACTAGTAAACAAATTGTTTTTGTGCTCTTTCTGTTTACTGTGAAAAATTGCAGCAATATTGAGTTGGGCAAAGGAAAAAAATGACGCAAGCGAATCGTTAGAAATATGTATGTATAAATAATGAGCAGGTACTTATAAAGCAGACACTTTCCCTCCAGCTTAGCTTAGTTCATTTCGAATGCCACAAAGCTCATTTTAAACTCTTTCATTTATTTAATTCTCTAGCAAATATTTGCACCTTTTCCCATTAGTTGCCTGTCGTTTATTTATTCCTTTTGTGGCCACGTATTTCACGGTCATTTCGCGTACGTTTGAACTCAAGTGCAAACACACAACAGCAGCGGAAGCAAAATAAAAATAAAAAAAAAATACCGTGAAAAATATGCCACTTAAAATTTTGAATGCAAAAATGCGTAAAGTAAATAAATTCACACCCGATTTACGTAACTCACATTAACAACAACCAACCAAGAAGTGTCAAAATAATTGTCGCTGACAGAAATCTACGTAATGCATCAAAACATCATCGTAAAATACACCTTCGAAATATAAAAAAGATTCACAAATCAAGTACACATTCGTATATATATCGAATATAAATTCAAGTTCGCACGAAAATTAATGGATTTTTGTGCGTTTCACATTTTGTTTTTACGACAATTACAAGTTCACATATGAAAGTCATGGCTAAGACGAAAGAGTTCAAAATCCAAATGAATATAATTCATTTGATTATTTTATAATATATATAAATATATTGAAAACAAGCTAAAATAATCATTACAAAGATTTTAAATATTATTAAGAGAAATTCTTTTCATAATCTTTTCACAAATAATCTTAGCTAATTAAATCTAAGAAAGTCCTCCTCTCATTAGTCCTTCCACAACTATGTAAACATTTATGATTAAATTATACATTTAAAGGTTGAAATTTAAAATAAATTATCTAAATTATACTGATCTGATCAGAGTGGATGCGCTAAAGAAATCTTTGTCAATACTAAGTTCCCAGTTTCCTTAATAAAAACATAATTTATTAATGAAAATAAAATGAAGCACAAACTTATTTATTCACAGTGTTGAGAGCGAAAAACTTCTTATAACTGCATATATTTAAAAAAATCTTTAGCAAAACTGTTTTTCTAGTACACAAATTTGACCCAATTTTCTGTATATATTTTCGTTTTTCGCAAAGCATTTTCTTGACGGTCGTCGAGAATTTATGGGCGACATATCAACGTCAACAAAGAAATGCAAAAAAATAAATCGACTCATTCAGAAAACCTCAAAAAATGAAATGCATTTTTGTGTCAAATTCTAGACTATTTCAAAACTTTTCAGTTTTCAGACCTCTCAAGTGCGTGGCAGACAACTTCCGCAGCTGGTGTCGGCTATATTTTGAACACGTGTACTAAATTCACTAGTACGCTGATTATTTGAATTTTCAGGCAAGAATGTGTGGGAAACATTAAAATTGACTAATTAATTTACGTTAGTGTGGGAAAGCGGACAAGATGAAGATGTCGCCTGCCAAAATGCGCGTGCAGTCCCGAGGGCTGCCAACCAAGAGATGAAGCCCAAAGAGACATCGCCAGTGTCATCATCACCACCCCCTCACTTCAAGCATGGGCATGGGTGTGGACGTGGACGTGGGCGTGGGCGTGGACGCCTGGTGGCCTTCAAATTTTATATGAACCTTAATTGAGAGTCTGTTGTCTGTGTGTTTCCTATATATATATATGTCTATTGATACACATATATGTATTTATTTATGAGCATAGAAATGCGTGCACATATGTTTTATTTATTTCGGCAAAAAACAAAAATGTATTCTTTCTATTATTATTCGCCGGGCATGGGGATTTCATATTTTTTATGGTATGGTTAAAGAATCGCATCAGCACCTGCTCTGGCCTATACAAGCATTGTCTGACACAAGCAAGTAGTTGCTTTCAAAATAAGCTGATATGTTAAAGAAACATAGATCTCTTAAAATCATATCGTATCGTTTATCATAGATCGACCTCAAATATATAACAATAATAACAACAAATCTAGAGTTTAGCTACAAGTAATTCAAATTTTATGTTTCGATTAACTATATAGATAAATTACCAAATGATTGAACTATTATTGACTTTAGGTCAACTTTACAAATAAAGAGATAATGACAAAATTTGTTAGAAAGTTTTGCATAAACTTTAGTTGTCAATAATCTTCAAATTGTTATACCTTCTATTAAATGGTATTATTTAAAATGATTCGAAACTTCTTTACGTTACTTACCCAGAATTCATTGCGTTTTATGTTTGGTTTCCTGTTTTTTTGGATCGAAATATTTATCTCAATTCGACAGCAATTACTTGTAGTCGTAGTCGTAGTCGTTGTTGTTGCTGGTTTGAACTCTTTTTCTACGTAGAGGTTGTCAATCTATGCACATAAAAACACTGAAAATTTATAGAAAATTTGAGCAGTTGTTATGAATCAAGGTTTTTTATTTTGCACAAAGATCACGCCTTCTTATGTAACATAAAATTTAGAGGCACTAGCGCGCATTCACACACACTCACACGCGCACACACACAGGCATGCCCAGAAAATAGTTTTGTGGTTTTGTATTCAGTTTGATACGTAGAACAGCCTCCAAAAACATGTCTAGTCTTTTGGGTTTACAAGAGTCAGCATGAAAAAAACCTTTTTCACAATTTTCGCGTAAGTATTTTGTAATTTTCTATTTTTAAAACGCGGCACAACGCATTGCTCACTTTTGCCAGTGCTGCAGACTCGGCGAATAGATCTATATATACCGCACTCGGCTATATAGACAGCTAGCTAGATAGATGGATAGATATATGTTAGTTTATAGTTGAAGATTTCTATTTCGAATGATTTTCTCGTTTGCAACGCGTTCAAGTTAGCAGCCCAAGTCGCACTGAATTCGCACACGAAAATTTCTTGGGCGAAAAGCCGAAAAAATTCACATTTCGAAATGAATTTCCTTTATATATTTCGGCTATTCTCTGTATATGTGTGTGTGCGTGTGAGTGTATATATCTGCATGTGTGTAAAGTGCGTCTGCTTGGAAAATTCTATGAATTTTGAGTTTATTTAAAAGAAAAATTGAGCAAGCGGCAATCAGTGGGCGATCACTGGCGGTTGTTTGTACTATTTTTTTTATTTATTTATTTGTACTTATGAGCATTAGGCAGCCCCTGAAAGAGCCGCAAATGCCTGCCAGAGGCATTAGAATTACTTAGGTATATGCTCTTGTTCAACATGCAATAAATTAATGCTGCTCTTTAATTTAAATAGTTTTCGATAGTTCTCTCTTTTTCGAGAACCAGGTAAGAAAAATATGTTTAACAAAATAACAAAAATACGTTTAAATAAAAATAAGTTGAAAACAAATAAGTATTTTTGTCCAAACGTTAGCAACTGATTAAATTTAAAATGTATCTATATAGCTCTTGGTTGAAAGTGTATTTATAAATATGACCGCGACTGTAGCCATCTGGTACTTAAAACGTACATAGGACTGGCAATATGTTTTAGCTTTTTGTCAATTTGATCGGGTGCCAAAAAAGCGAAACGCCAAAAAGAAAACATGTAAACAAATAGGCGCATGCAGCTCGTGCCTGTTTTAGTTCTAGTACATAGAAAAAGCGTCGAATCAGTATATGGTATATTTATGTATATATCTAAAAAAAAAAACAAAAAAACTGTGGACCATCAGCCACCAAATATCATGCACACAATAGTATGAAAGCCAAGTGAATGATACCAAATGGCTGGGTCAGTCAAAAGTTCCTGCAACGTGGCCACATGCTGGGATATATCACAATAAATCACAAAAATAAAGCGAACACTAAAAGATGTTTAAAAACCCAGTCGATACTATATGCATAAGCCTAGCCAGACGAACTAACACAATATATAGCTTATAGAATATGCAATGTCTTCGGCATTAGAGATTCATTCATCTTCAAACAAAAGATACATTCATAGGCAAGATATATATGTGCTAGATAGATGGTCTATTTACATGCCCAGCTTTGACTCTAGACCACCTGCCTACAATTTTAATAGGCTTTTTTCGCACACTTCTTTTAGATGTGTTCATTAATTATCTTTATATATCTATATAAAAAGTTATATATATATCCATGCATGTGAATCTATCCTCTATTTTTGTGCAAAATGCGCCATTAAAATTTATAAATAGATTGTTGAAAAGCGCACAACGCCTGGGTCTGAGTCAACGTGCCTCGAACATTAACCTCATTAGAAGAGCGTAAAGCATTTTGTTTGAATTACGAGTTTGTATATTTGAATACTTCAAGCTTTCAAGTGGCCGACAAATTGACTATAAAGTGGGTGCGGCTGCCCAATAATCGAATTAAGAAACATTGAGATGACGCTGAATTAATTGAGTCGACATCTATTTAAATCTGATCACAATATTCCAACTGCCTGTAACAATTTTTGTAAATTAATTTAAAGCAAAAAATAAAACCTCTGTTCGTTATGCACACATAGATTAATGTCAAGCATGTGTCCACGTAATGAAATATAAATTTCAAACAATATATTTTACTAAAATGAAAGCTTAGTAATTCTAAAAAACTTGTCTGGGTTTTAATAATATTTTACATTAACTATTATTATATGTATTGCAGGCAAAGATTGACGTGAAATCAGCTTAGAGTATCTTGTAGATTCTCCAGTCTGCTCAGATTAAAAATCCACAAATACAGTTTGCTTGTAGAATAATATTTCTTTCGATTCGTTAACACAAATCTTTCAACTATCTAAGTAACTGTCCTATATTTTAAATCCTTCTGTCCCTGATTTTTTAAGCTCTACTGAATCTTAAATTTAGAACAAATCGACTGGTTTGCAACTAGCATAAAATGTATTCGCGTTTTCAAAAAATTTAACCTAAAAACACATTAAAAACACAATTGAACCCAGGAAAACCCCAATAAAAAGTTCATTGCACTCGTCGTTGGCAAATTGAGCGGAATATTTAAACAAATCGCTTAAAAGAAAACTAAATACATGTCATGAATGGATATACAAACAGACACAAAGGCACTGAAAGAAATTCGCCATAACTCAGTGAGGAAATATTTTATGCGTTTCAAGTTGCGCAAATTATAAAAATCAATGCGCGTGTTTTGGACATGCAAATGGCCTGCTGCGTGTCGCATATATACATTATACAACAAAAAGAACAAAAAAGACATCTTTCTATTTGTATTGAAGAAAAAAAAATTGTTGCCAATAAAAAGCCGCAGCATGAGCCTTGACCATTGAAATGGACGCATCGCAAGTGTTTCAATGTTTTTTAATTTATTTTTATTTTTGCAATTAAATTTGTTTGGCATAAAAAATAGCGTTAAGGCGCAGCTGTATGCGTAGCCACATATATATCTATCTTAGATTCTTAGTTTAGTTTTGTGCGTCAGCGGAAATTTGGCTGCCGTTTAAATTTAGCGCAATTGAATCTTTTGCTTAATTAGTCGAACAAATCGAAATGTATGCCAAAAAGAAAAAACAAAAACCTATTATGATCCGTTCTAACTGTAGTCGTCGTCACTATCCTCGTCGGGGGGCAGGCGGACTGACTGCCGGCTGGCGAGCGCTAAGGTTAAGCGTTCCACATCGATCGACAACGGCTTACGCATGTCGAAGGCATCCTCCTCCGGATCGCCGGGATAGTACTCAAGTAGCACACGCCGCAGACAGTAGCCCAGGTTGCAATAGAGCTTGTAGGCGGCCTGGTTGCTGCAGCGCAAATACAGGTCCACATACCAGGCATTCTTTAGGTCCAACATGTGCCCAAAGTGGTTCATAAGGAGAGAGGCGACGCCTAAACGACGATAATCAGAGGACACAGTCAAGGCGCAGACATGACCATGCAGCTCAGTGTGGTCCCTCAGCCCGTCCAAGCACTTGCCAAATATGAAGCCCGCCAACTGGCCATCGGGCGATACAGCAGCCAACGCAAGATCGGGCCACTGGGCCAGATGACGCAGGAAGAAGCTGAGGCGATAGACCTCCGTGAAGGGATCAAAAACCAACGCATTAAATTTAAAAAGATCGTCGAGATGCATCTCGCGTAGACAAGTCATGCTAAAATCGGGAAAATGAGCTAGAAGACAACAAATAGATTTTGATCATGTAGAGTGAGTGTTATTTAAAATCAGCTATGATTCACAATATATATTCAAACAAATTGACAAACTTATCATAAGGCTTTTAATATGGTATTCTTAAGCCTTACCAGACACTTCATCAGCAGTTTCACTAGCTGCTGTCCACCATATTATCCTTCTCCTTCAGGCAAATACGCTCAACGTCTCGCGGCAGTGGCATGCGCATCTCATAGCCGCTATCATTGCCATAGAAATGAGGAAGCCAGCGATACTTTACATAGCCCAACAGCTGATAGAACCTTATAGCTCCTTGATTCTTGCTGCGCACATACAGACATACATACCAATCCCGCTGCCGATCCATGCTGGCATGCAGGCGCTCCATCAAAAGAGAGCCCAGGGCCAAGCGTCGAAATTCATGGTCAATGGACAGGACGCTGACGTGGCCATGGCTGCTAATCAGATCCAAGTTCTTTCCATCGCCAACTAATTCGTCCTTAATGACACGGGTACCCAAAATAAATCCCACCAACTGCTCGTTGGGGGCAACTGCAACTGTAGCCAGCATTGGAAATTCAAGTATCTTATCCATGAAGAATGAGATCGAGTAGACTTCGGTCAGGGGATCAAAAACCATCCTGTTAAACTTAAAGAGATCATCGAAAGTGAATTCGCGTAATGCAGTCATAATGCCATAGGTTTCTTTTTCTCTAAACGATAAAGTTCAAAACGAATTGATGTATACTACTGATATTTGTTTCACATAAACTAACCAATTTGTAGAGAGTTGGACGTTTAATTCAAAGAAAAAACAAAACACGATTTTTAAATCCAAATTGAGTCAAAATTGGAATACAATCAACCGAACCTTCTACCGTATTAGTTGGATAAACAAGGGTCAAACCTAAACCTGAAAAAAAACATCAAATGGATTAGTAAGGACAATTTTTCCTGTGTTGTTAGTTAATATTTAATACATTATTGGTTATTAAAAATATGTAAACGCAATTAATATATATGAAAAAGCAAGGGTATGGATTCAATAAAGGTTTGCTAACCAAAACACAGAAAAATTAGCTAGACTTGATTCAAATAGATTTTTGGATCTCAAGCTAAAAAATGTCAAATCTCAGACAAACAATCTAATCGCTATTCAATAACAAGTTAACAGAGGGGCAAAGGTACAATTTGTTGTCTAACTTTGTCTCTATTCATTTTACCATGCCGTCTTATTGGAAAAAGTTGACTTGACAAAATTACCCACCTTTTGTGATTTTTTGTAACGAAAAACATGTTGCATACTTTGGGGCTGTCAATAAATTCCATCTTAGCAAAAACCAAAACCTATTTTAGTGCACTTTTATTGTTGTTTTTCAAAATCGCACTGCAACTTCGCAAATAGGCTTCAAATGCCGCCAGCTGCAATTTTTAGCTGTTTTCTATGTCACTAACAATAATATTGTCACTAATAATATTAAAGTCCATAACTCATTGAGTTACACATTTAACAGGAAAAACGTATTTAAATATAGCGTAAATGCAGTTTATAATGTTTATTACACTTGTCTCAATATCACGACCTAATCTATACAAAATACTACGTTCATTTGATGTTCTTGTAGATCCATGGCAGCAACGAGGTGACACGTGTGTAGACTCCAGGATACTGTCCTTTGCCGCAGCCAATGCCCCACGAGACGATGCCCACCTGGGTGTAGCGGCTGCCTTCATTGACGATCATCGGGCCACCAGAGTCGCCCTGTTAAGGATTGGCAAGATTAGTTTTATTAATTATAGAGGCAATAAAAAGACTTTGACTAACGCTGCACGAATCCTTGGCAGCCTGGCCAGCACAGATCATCGACTCAATGATGCCGCCGGGCGCAGCACGTCCATATTTCTGAGCGCACTCTGCATTCGCCCAAATTGGTATGTCCACCTTTTGTAGAATCGATGGCTGCGGTCCGTTCTCGCGCAGACTGCCCCAGCCGGCGACGGTGGCTACCTGGCCGCTGTAGGAGCGCGACTGTTGAGCCAGCGAGGTGGGCAGACAAATCGGCTGGATCTCGTTGCTGAACGGCACCGGCTCGCTCAACGTTAAAATAGCAATATCATTGTGCTAGTATACAGAAGTTATCACTGAGTGTTGCAGTCGGTAGCCCCAATGTCACTTACCAGCGTGCTGAACTCGAAGCCCTTGTGCCGCACCAGGCGTTTGATGCGACGCGAGACGTGCTGCACCTCGAAGTCGGTGCGTATATTGTAGTCGCCCAGATGGGCAGTTAGAGCTGCCACATCCCATGATGTCATCCTAGAATTTGTAATACAACAATAATATTCAATTTCAATTAGCCTCAATTTTGAGTAATTTACCTTGCTACACAATGGGCTGCTGTGAGAATGTGATTGTTGGTTATCAAGCTGCCCCCACAAAACTGTTTTCCGGACTTGAAAAGCACCGCAATCCAAGGGAACTCATACGGACTGGCGTTATTGCCGCCCACAATGCGTTCCTGATCGGGTGAAACTGGGTTCTTGTGACCGCACTGCAGTGGCAGGCCCTCTGGACTAAATCCGCTGCTCGGTCGGCGCGTTGTCGTGGATGTTGTCGTTGATGCCACCGGGTGGCTGGGCCGTCTGGTGGTGGTTGAAGGTCTGCTCCCTGGACGTGGTGTGGTGCGCCGTGTGGTCAGCACCGAACTTGGCGTAGAGGGGTAAGGTCGCGTGGTCGGATGCGTTGGATACTGATGACTCGGAGGATGAGTCGGTATCGGAGGTGGCCAACCGCCAACGGTGGGCGGATGCGTCGGTATTGGTGGCGGCCACTGTGGTAGGCCACCAGCAAATGTGCCAAAAGGCCATTGATACGGATAAACGGCGGTAGTAGGTGGTGTCGGCGAAGGGGCTGGGGCGGGTTGCGCCGGTTGCGACTCGGGTGCATTGGCCTCAATTGTGTTCATATCCTGAAAGTCGGGCGTGTCCTCAACGCTGTTAACATTGTCTATAGGATCTGAATCATGCTCTGCATTATCGAGGGTCTGATCTGGTTGCCCATTTGCAGGCTCCTCCTCTCCTTCAGCTTCGTCAACCTCATCGGCAACTGTCAATGGTTTCTCCGTTGTTGTCGTTGTGGTTGTCGTTGATGTTGTTGTCGGTATCGATATCGGAAAGATTCCAAGCGTGTTTGTATCCATGTTCGGGCAACAGATGCCATTGTTAATGCGTCCCAGCTGATCATAAAAATTACATATATCAGATCCAAGCCCCAGCGAGCCTGGCGGCTGCCATTGACGAACTGCTATGAAGGACAATTGCCGCGCCACGCGAAAATACTGCGGGCAACTGTTGATGCGAACGCATAGGCCAGGCTGGCCCCTGGCGGTCAGACACCTGGAGCCCTCCCAGGCTCCGCCGCCAGCCAGACCGGCCTGCAGTAGAAACAGGCTCGGATCAAATAAAAGTTGTCGCTGTGTCCGGGCGTTGCTTGGCGATAAATACGCTATTCAAATCAATCAAAATTAGGAGACATCATTATTCGTTGGCATTTTGTGTTTTAAGATAAATTTGTAAATGAAACGGAAAGATTTGTTACAATTTCTCTAATTGAACGATATCTTATTATCTAGACAACAATTGGTTCAAAATCAAGCTTTTAAAGTATTTAAATTAATCGTAAATGTAAACATAAAGGTATTTAATCTTCGACATCCACAAAAAAACAGTTCAATTAGCAGTGTAAAATATGTAAGTAAATTTTCAATTTAATACTTTTCTTTTATTATTTCAATCAGTACCTTCTGATCTCTATCAAGCGAATGACTATAAGAAGAAAGTATAGTAACAAATATGTAACTTGTATGATATCATCATTGTGGCATATTTAAATTGAAGGCCTCCTTTCCCTAATAGCATAATACTGTGAGGTAACCTTTGAAGGCTCCTCTGATCGGATCAGCCTCACCCTGGCGAGTCTTTTTATCTATTTGATGATAACTTAAGGAATACCACTACTTTTTGCATTAAATAACTTTTATTCATTATTATTCATATTTTATTTCGCGTAGCTTCTATTTACAGTAATTTTGAGAAAAGTTCAAGTCAAACCTTTTTCACATTTCGCTCGCCCAATTTTAACAAAATTTGTTGTAATATGTTTATAATACTATGCGGAACTAGTTACTCCCAAATAAATAGCCATTGACCTGTTAGTCGACAGCTGTCATAACAATTTAAAATCCATCAAAAGTGAATTGTGCCATTATCAATAAACATAAAAATGTGTGCATGTATTGGGCCACATGAGTAACAGGTAGTTTGGCTTTCTTTGGGTATATATTATGCAGTAAAATTCAAGTCCAATGAATCAGAGTCAAAAATGTGTGTGCCCACTAACATTTTTGTTGGGCTGCTTGGCTTCCTTCGTAATATGCAAATATCATTTACAAAATGCCTAATCAGAATGCGTAGCACGTCTGCAACGTGGTCTCCATTACGCCTTGTCCACGACCAGGGCGAAACACGTGCATGCGAGCATTTCTGAATACACCTTCGAAGTGTAGCCTATCGGACCAAATGCATTTTTAAGTATCCATTAGCACTACACTTTGCTAACGAAAACAAATGTTTGCAAAGCTTGCAAAAAGAATTTAAACAACAACTAGCCAAGATTTTCAGAAACTGAGAAAATTAAGCAAGTCTGCCCAAATAACCCAAATAACCTCTGAACTTAAGTTACCTTGGCCTGCGTTTCTCAGTCCATTCATCAGCATTTAGCCAGTAAAATTAGGCATTTTAAATTTCCTTTACATCAATAATAATACATTTTGGGTAACTCAAAAAGTCAAATACTTTGGCTAAGAATATTTGATTATCTCCCATTCCCCACTCTCTCAAAATTATAATAATAAAGAAACATAACAATCGGATAAGTATATGTTATTTTGTGTAACTATATATATATAGAAGGCAACTGGAATGTTGGTCAAGTTTTTAAGGGTATCTAGTAGTCGAACACTCCAGGAAAGATAACATTAATTGTTGGTTTTAATTCAGGAGGGCAAAACTATTGGGCACTGTGACAAAGGCTTCATCAAAGACTTTTAAAAAAAGCGCATATAATGTTTATTTAATTTAAAATAAACAAAACAAAGAACGTTATTTCAATTTATTTATTAAAGACGGTCTTGACGTCATGCAATTAATAATATGTACCTTAATAATGCTTGTCAGATAAGTTTTGTGTTAATTGCCTATGATTTGCATCGTGGTGTGTGTGATTCCCATTTAAGCTCTTAGTTAAGGCCTATAATACACAATGTGAGCTCATAAAACAGTATGCACACTGTCAGACGAAACTAAACGAGTCGTTTTGGTGAGCACATAAATCAAGTCGATATTTGATATGGGCCACACGCGAAATGCTAAATAAATTAAACAAATGGCAGTTTTGTGTTAACTTGAAAGAACAAAAAGAGCAGAGCATGGACAAAGACAGCGAACAAAAGCAGCCTAGATCATTTTTAAGAAGCTGCCAATGGGCTTGACACATACCCACATACAGACATACATGCACATATGCCAGACATAAATATATGACAAGTGACAGTAGAAAGTTGCTTAGGGGGAGCGACACGACGGCTTACAATGAAATGTTGTCAATTGTGCGTTGAAAGGCGCACAACACAGAAACATAAAAAAAAGCAAGGCATGAAAAAAAATGGCACAGCAATTGTCATTCAGCTTGAAAAGCGCTTAAGTTTATTGTCAATATTCTGGCTTTTGTTTTTGTCAAAATTTTCAACGCACAGAAATGTCAAATATTGAGTAATCACGCTAAGCGTGGACCCCAGCTTCGAATTGGCTCGCAGCGTGAACGAATGCTAAGTAAATATTGGCTGGTCTTCTTTTCTTATTATTATTATTTTTTTTTTTTGTGGGCTTGGTGCTTTGTCAATAACGCGACAGATTGGCTAAAAAATTGTGCCTAGCCGTATAGTTTTTTGCTTATTTGTTTAAGTAGTTGTAAAATCTTTCAAAAGGCTAATGAACTTTTAATCTGTGCCTAGCTCGTTGGCTTTTAACAGCTCGTAATCATATTTTACTACATATTACTTTGGAGATTTCCTTCAGATTTGAGTCAGAAACGCCCCCTAGAGTTACAAACTTATTAACTTGTGTGTCAAGCAGGTAGCACAAGGTACCTAAGATAACCAAAGATAAGACTGCAATGGGCCAGCCCACAAGTTCAAGGTCTAAACCTAGCTGCCGTCCGCCAAGTCGTAAGCGTTGCCTGCACAAATTAAACTGGATTAATATGGGCACAGACTGATGTAAAATCTTGAAATACGCTGCAGGACATGTAAGCAACAAGCTGGGCCACCTTTATTAAAATAATTTTAATACGGATAGGCAAGCGTGTCCATATAACTTACATTCATTGCGATGTCTGTCAGCTGAGGCTAACAAATCGAAGCGCCCTGGGAACTGAAAACTCGAATTATGTATAGAGTAGGCTAATTTGCGAGCATTTTTTATTTTCTCTGCCGAAATCCATTAATAGGCTTAAGTTGTCGCGATGTTTTCAAAGCTAAACATAAGCAAAGATCACGCCTGTTCTACCCTTTTGTCTAATTGTTGGCCATAAATAAAAGGCGACGAGAACTCGTGTCGACAAGCCCACAGTTCTGGGCCGTCGATTGCGTGGAAGTGCGCCAATTTGAGAGCTCTATAAAATACGCCTCAACTACGGCACATGCTGTCTATCTCGGAAGTGAGAATGTGTACAAAGCATAGAAAGTTGGCGTTTGCTCCAGAGAACTCAGCCACAAAGTGGAACAAAGGGGCCGAGCAGAGAGACGGACGCGGTAAAAAGCGATTCACAAACAACGTATTCCCTTTATTTTCACTAGGCGATTTATAGATTTCTGAAGGTCACACAAGCAATTCGATTGCGTGCCAAGCATAAATTGATCGGCTAATATAGCGTTACGAAAAGTCGTTGAACTTTCGTGTGATGTCTTGCAGCATGTAATGTAAATATTGTTATAACTTAAAATAGAGCTGGAAATAATATTTGATTTGTTTTGCAACTAAGAAAAAAACTTAGATAGTCGAGCAGAAAATATGGTCAATTGTTGATTAGCAACTTTTTTGTTTCAATTTTAAAAAGAATTTCTTGGGGTTCTTTCTTATCGCACACACGCTAATTTTCAGAATCCGACTTTGACCGTCAGCTTTTTTACTTCTGCTCACTATTAATTTAATACAAAATAAAATGCTTTTATTCAGCTTACAAATTTATTTTTATAGTCAAAAGATATCAAACATTTAAGTGTAAATGTTTTCTAACTAATTCCTGTTCTATGGCTTTGTCCTAAATATTAAAATATTGGCTTTTCAAAAAATTTACTTAATTCAATTTATTTGCAAATAACTTCTTGTTAAATTTCTGCTCACATTTGTAAATTTCCGCTTTTTACAAATCTTTAAATTTGCTAGTTCGTTGCGTAAGTCTTTTGTTTTTCACGAGTTTTGAATTCGAATGTTAATTGTGGAGATCCTTTAATTTTTGTTTTCTGCAGCATTCTTATTTCCTAAGTCTTTATTTAATCCTTTACAAATTCAGTTTTTATTTAGGCATTGCTTAGCATCCAGTTTACTCACCATCCGCGGGGACATCAAAGGCTTGTTCTGCTGTGGCATTGGGCGCGGCCAGGGATTCCACAGCCTTTGTTTTTAGAATTGGATCTGATAATGTTGTTGTTAATGTTCTTATCGATGGCACATCCTCAGCTAATGTCGTTTTAAAATGCAACAAATGCACACAAAGTAATAAAATTCGCAAAAATGCAAACATTTTGCCCGCAAAATACTTTTTTTTTCTGTATATTTTTATTTTTACTATTTTGTTTTCGTTTAAGCTCAGCGAGAATTGCAGACCATATATAAATGTTACAATATAGTATATAACCGCACTCCGAAACGCTTCTTGCTTTAGAATGCGACGCACGTTGCCCGATGGCATTCACCTGGGCGGGCAGACGGCTCAGAATATGTTCTCGCCTGGGTCTTGTCCCACAATCGATATCGTTTAGTCTGCGCGCGCTTATTAGAGACAGGACCGTTGGCTAGCAAGGTCCGCAAGCTTCTGAGCCAACTGACTTCGACAAAGTTTGGTTAACAGCTATGCCGCGGCCAGTCGACAGCAGCGCCAGCGCCAGCGGCAGCGATGACAGCGAAGTTGAAATCGGCGCAGACGTAGACGGAGACGCAGCCGAAACGTCAATTATTTTCGCACATTGATTTGCCTGTTTTTCGATACATGATAGGCAGAGTATTGGCCGTCTTTTGGTTACCTTTTTGCTAATCTCTAATGCACAAGCAGTTTTCATTTGGAAACTAGTTATTTAAATGCTTGCTCTTGCTCCTGTTCCTTTGCCGCCTTGGCTCGCGGCCAGACATAAGCCAAACACGCGCGTTGCACCAAATCTAGACAAACTGGGATTTAGACCGGCACCCGATTACTGTGTCGGTGCATACTGTTAAAAGGCCAACAAGATCTCCGCTTTCTAGCATTGTCATTATGATGCACTGGCAGAAGAGGCGCATCTTATTTGATGGAAGGTAATTACAAAAATTATCAACTTTTAGATTGTTAATTAATAAATAATTCTCAGATATTTTTAACCCTTTTACCTTAAGTATCTCAAAGTGTATTTGCTACATATGCAAATTAATAATAATAAATAATATTATTTGATTGTCAATTATCAGAAGGAGGAAGACAAGCATTTGTATAAGGACCTTACAGCGCCAAATTAGTAAAAAGATCATTAATTCTGCTTCAATTCATGATAATCAAAAAGTTAGGCGACATTTAAAATATGTTGCAGCGTACGGGGTACCACAGAAGTGCTGTAAGCTTCGTCAGTATTTTGTATAAAAAATACATATGCATTAGTACATAAATGCAGTCATAAGAATCCGAGTACACTTGGACTACGCTTGGTACACAGACTATTCATAGTCTTATTATATATAGATATATGGTACCGTGTTTAATAAAAACAAAACAATTTTTAAGCAAAATATTATTTGCTTGTAAATTATTCTATTTAGCAGTGTAATCGTACTAGTTTTAAAATTGATCTTCGAAATTTTTCCCAGTGTAGCCTCAGAATTCAAAATGCCGTTTAAATTACTTGATATATATAAAGATAACTCGTAGCTAGAGTATGGCTAGATCTTTCTGCTCTTAATAACTAAGGAAACGATTTAAACTAGAATATCAAAGCCAAATGCAAAATAATAATTTCAATTTTTTAAGGTTCGTTCAATTCAACATATTCAATTGAAAACTTGAATATCGTAGACATGCCTTACGTTCCATTCCATTCCAACAAGTAAAGCATATTGCTTACTTAATTTCTCTTTGTCAAGCTATGGCGTGCAGTCGAATACTTTTTTTCAATCAAATAGTAAATAAATAAATGATGAGAGCAAAATGCAGCCTTTAGTGAAGAAAAATATGCGCAGTTGTAGCTGACGCTGTGCAGGATTCAATTAGCAATCAAATAAATCAAGATCCAGTCCAAGCGTATTGTCACGAACTGCGGCTGCGCTTCATGTGTTAAAAATATCAAAAATGAAATCAATTGTTGTCGAGAATTGCCCGGTTCATTGTTAACCCACTTGATTCCCTCGCACAATCCCTAAATGCTCGCCCACCTGAAATCCAATCTCGAGTGTCACGGTCATGGTGGCCCCAACCTTTTGGCGAGATGGCAAATGGGAAACAATTGGCCTGTATATATCAATATTGTGCCAACTAATTGTCTGTAATTGGTCGCCAAGGGGCATTTGCCTGTTGATTGATGATCGCAAAGTGTTCTTGATTCGATGTGGAGTGTTGAGCCGATCAAGCATCAAGCTTAAAAGGCGGCTGGGGAAAAGCACTCACATTCTTAAATGCGTTAAATTTGAATTACAATTACAGGTAGGTTAAGCCGAGCAATTTCCAATATCTAAATTTTTCGGGTTAAAAAACAGACAAATACGTGATTTTGCTCAAGCAACCTTTTACTCAGACTAAAAATAAAAGTAGGCACATTCGAACCCTAGTATTTCTTTATTCTGATTGTTTATATCAAGACCTCCTGTTTTAAAAATTGATCCCAGTTTTTCAGAACCCCAACTACCGTAAAGTGCGCTACATAGTATCTCTACAGGTGCACCATATTTATTTCATTTGTATTGCATGCTTTTAGGATCGACCAAAAATGTATCCAATGCCCATCAAACATTTTCGGTCTGGTTAACATAAAATAGTTGAAAAGCCAATTGAAATGTTATCAATTATTCATTACAGTTTAATAATTTTGAAATATTTGAACATCTGTAAATTTAAAGATGTTTTTTTTTTCACATAAATAAATATGAATTTCGTTTTGTTCGAGTAACAATTCTTGCCGAAAATTGCTGACAATTGAATAAGCACAGTAATTATTTGGAAACAGCATTTTAAATAATTGATATTTCGTAAATAATAATTAAAAACTAATTAGCTACAAAATGCATACAATTTGAGCTTTGAGCACTTTACTGTACCAAGAATTTTTCTATAGGAACCGGGGCGAAGAACTCGTTGATATGCTCAACTAAAATGGGCGCCCATTGCTCACGGGTGGCGGGAATACCGACGCGGGTAATCTCTGGCAAATTCTCATTGACCAGATTCAGGATCATAGCATCTGCAGGGAATACACACAGGTTTAGAAATATCTGATTTTCTATATGTGGCAGCTACTTACTTAGATTGCGGTCCGAAAATATGCCATTGGCCAAGACACGAGCACTGCCAACATTTACATTCGCATTCAGGCGATGCAAACTAAGGCGCTGGTTTCCACTGGGCAGCTGCTCAATGTGTCCATCGGTTAGAATGGTGGCCTTGACGTCGTCTATTCATTGAATCGTTTAATTCCAAGGCTCGAATTACTTGCAGAGAAACTTACCAATGGTTATGTTAAATGGTCCCTTGGGAACCAAACGCAGACCGCCAAACTTAACGTCCGCCTTGAAGTATCCGCCAGCCTTCAACTGTGGCAGCTCCACGCCCAATTTGATGACAAAGCCGCTGTCCGTGAAATTGGATGCAACGTTGTGGACTTTCAGCCCACTGATGCCGTAAATTTCCATGTTCTTTATAAGCAGTCCGCCTTGTATTCCGTCGTTCGAGTACCGAAAGATGCCGCGCTTGTAGAAATATGGATCAATGGAACCCAAACCATACTCCGGCAGACCCTGATACCTCAATCTTGGCACAATCGAATCGAACAGTCCTCGTATGCACTCATCCAGTTCCGACGAGCTAAGGCTGCAGGCAGCGAGGTCATCACTAGACGTACGTGGTACTGTAAGTAAGTAAGTAGCGAAAGTGGTAGATATTAGTACATAGCTGTTATTGCTGGCCAAAAGCCAAAAGCCAGTCGGTTAAGTCATAGCCAAGCTGAGAGCGTGCTTATTAAACTCAGCCAGGCATGCATCATTGCGCATAGCGCCTTTCGATGCATGTGGCCATGCATGGCTTAGTTCACAGTTTGACATGCCTTGCACAGGTTTTTCTTCAGTTTTGACATTCAAATTGCGTCTGTTGTGGCTCTTCGTGCCTTGCGTGCCTTGTGTCAGGGCGACAGGTGACAACGACGCGTCGCAGTCAAGGTCTCTGATCTGGGCCCCACACGTGGCGAACCAATTGAAGTTTAATGATCCGTTGGTTGACATGAACGAATTGTAGAATAAGCTCTGCCTTAGCAATAGGTCTAGATCAGAAAGCTGTCTACATTAATTCTTAAACTGACGTCAGCAGGTACGATTTTTTTAATAAATATGTACCGAATCCAAACATAAACTTGAATGCTGCTACATCGAAAGAAATATCGCAAGAACTGGTTTTTTGCATTTGCGACTCACTAAAATCAGACATACAACATTTTTGAGCCAATTTTAATATCAAAAACAAAGTACTTTTATATATTTTTTAGAACACAAGACAGCTGTAATAGGTTTTCTAT